GCCTAGAATAAATCTAAAATAACTGCTAGAGAAAGCCTCAAGTTGATCCAGAAAATATTTAATGTTCATAATGTAAAACTGTTCGAAGTTGTTTTGCAAGACCATTGTATATTGGGAGACATATGATACAAGTAGAAGTATACTAGCAATATAACTTGTTATGTATTATAGATAAATTTATATGTATTTAATTAGTTGATATCGATAACCGATCATTTATGATGCAGTATGGTGTACATACAGAGCAAAATATTGATTGTTTGGTATTCATAGACTAGTTTTAAGTAAAAAAGTGACTGCATAATGTATTTGAACGAATACATTCTTTAAAAAAATCGGTTTATTACTGAACCTGTATCCAGGATAAGAGCCTTTGGGGTTTTGTACTGTTCTAGAGATCCTAAAAAAGCTCGGATCTTTATCTGCTAAACCCTTTTAGGTTCTGAAAATTGGTACAAATCCCCAAAGGCTCTTATCTTGGGTACAGGCTCGGTAATAAACCAATTTTTTTAGAGTGTAACATCTTATATGATTTATAATAACTGTCTCAACCTTCAAAATGCTCAAAATAAACTCAAAGTTGTAAAGTTGTAACCGCAAAACTTTTGAAGAAAATAAACATAAACACCTTAACTATCAAAATAGTCTACAAGGTCCCAAAGAAGACATTGAAATATCATTAATGTTGAAGTGAATAAACACCAAGAGTTGCAACTATCTAAATAGTTTACAACGACTCGAAGACGACGTTGAAACCATAAAAGTTTTCAAGAACGTAGACATTAAAATTGCAACAATCAAAATAGTTTACAAGGACTCAAAGGCAACGTTGAAACAGTAAGTATTGTTAATAAAGTAGACGGCAAAACTTTCAACGATGGAAGTGCTCTACAAGGACTCACAATAGACATTTCAACGGTAAAAATTTCGAAACAAAAAGGTATGCGAAGTAATCTAGTAATTCGGTGTGTTATAGTTTGCTGGAAGTCAGTGCTAATCACGTTAAAATATTTGTGAGAAAATAAAAAAAGATTTTTGACGTGGACAAGTCCTGAATTTCTAGTGTTTACATCCATTTTTGAAAATTTTCGTCTGGTTGGGTAGCACAAATCTTTTTTTTTATCGAGTTGAAATTGAGTCTATCAAATTGATCTATCGTTTAAACTTTAATCACCATTCATTTATATCTAACCAATACCGCTTGATAAGGTGCAAGTTCGAATTAGCTGCTATATGTCAATTCGATGATGCCGTTTGACACGAATCTTAAGTTTGATGACAGATATGTAATTACAACTAGTTAGACTCGTAGATATATCAATAATCGATTGATTGCAGAGAAAAAACTAGATTTGATATCATATGTGTCGATTTACTTTAATACATGTTTCATTTATACTAGTGTCACTTGCTACTTCAACGGATACGATTTCAATAATATTGAAATATCTAGTATTTAAGCTTCTATATACAGCTCGAAACTATATTACTAACATTCGCTCTCTACCCGTACTCGTAGTCACATGTGTGTTATTTTTATTCAAATATATTATACACATTGACACGCACACCCTATTTCGTGTTTACAACGTTGACATAACCATGGCCGTCTGCGGTCTCCATATTTATTCCATAATTACATGTAATGAGCAATCGTATTCATCCTTCATGTATACAAAGAAATACGATCTGTTGCAGCATATTCTATGTGTATATACAACTTTCGTACCGTCAAGGTCATCTATCCTCTCCACTTTCGCTGCGTATTTGTTCCGACAAGATCATGTTTCTTCAGATAAGACGTAGACATATTAGCAGTTAAAATAAAGCTATTTAACGCTCAAAAATACGATTGTGTACAGAAGAATACAATCGTTGATTAGCTTTTCAAACTTCCACATTCTTCTATTTTACCGCTCGTACATTATTTTATTAAAATCAAACGCCTTATTGCCTTTTAAACGCGATGTAATTTAACATATTTTATTCAAAAAGAAAAATGTCATAGTATGCATACTTTTAAATCACGACAATGTGAAATACGTTATGCTGCATGGAACTTGCTCTAACATAGACATACGGCGCATATAGTTTTGTAAAGTTCATATGTCTTCAAACGCTTTCTTTTCGAATATAATCGTTCTGTAATGCGTTTTACATCAATATAAGCTAATAGTTATATAACATTTCTGAGTCGCTGATGCACTCTAAAAAGTAGTTTGCTCCATGAAGTATTCATAGTTCATTCATTTTCTCTTCTTTCAGATACTAGTATTAAAACGTGCCCATCATGGCAACATTCAGTGAGTTACTAGGTGAACGATTACTTCAGCACAATATCGATGGATCTGACCAGATCATAAGCTACATTTCCACCCATGAACTCGAGGGCAAGACCATTGGGCTCTATTTTTCGTAAGCTAGTTCTTATTACTTTTGATTGATGCATTCAGTCATTTTTAAGTGGTCACTGGTGTGGGCCAGCTCGAGCTAACACACAGAAATTGGCTGAGATATACAAGAGTATTTATGAAAATGTGAAAGACAATTTCGAAATCGTATTTATATCGTCGGATAGAGATCAGAGTAGCTTCGACAGCTATTACAACGGAATGCCATGGAAAGCTTTGCCGTATTCAGGTATGTTGCTTTTTTGTTATTTCAAAAATTAAGATAGCTAAATCAAAATATGATGAATACAATTTTGGCATTACTGTATCAGACATCAGAAAACAAAAAAGATTCTGTATCTGTTTAGTGTTATCATGAGGATATTGAATAGAAAAACGAATAGAGTGTCATATCAAATATATCCTAGTTCATTTGTATTTTCATATTGGGCCAGTTTTTATCACGAGTGAACTCGAATATAATAAAAAATAGCTCAATTAATGCAGCTCAGTGGCATTTTCCCAACTAACGCCAGCGAGAGCGAAAAAAAAATCATTACAATTTGCAACATTCTCTTCAAGTTTACTATACAGTACTGTACGTTAACTGAACTTAGCCCCAGCTAATAGCATACTCACGTCTCCTCGAAGTCACTGCTGAAGTTTTGCATTTTTTTAAAGTTTGATCAGTACGGTAAGCAAATGCTCTTTTTCATAGAACAAACTCGTGCTGACGAAATCAAAAGTAATTACGATGTACGAACTATTCCAGAATTAGTTATTCTGTCTCCAACTGGCGAAGTTCTCTACTCAAATTGTATTAACGAAGTAAGCGGTGAAGGTGCCGAATTCTTTCGACAATGGTATTGTGGTAAGTATTTGTTTGATAACAATACATTAGCGCATGGTTGATTCTATGCAGCTGTTTTTCATTTACGCAGAATATCAGTCGAGATATTATTCCACTTCTCATGAAAGTTAAGGCTCGAAGTAACTTCAAAGAAACTCTTGAGCCAACGTTTTATTTGGAGTGAGATCACTTTGTTATGAGTTCAAAATGAAGTTGACCAATAAGTACATTGTTACTTTTTATGCAGTAAAGATTTCTTCAAACAACAAGAATCTCATATAGACGGCAAATTCAATCGGGGGATACAGATTTGTATGTATCATAAGTCGAGTCTAAATACATGTCTATCGACTTTACGAGCGTAGTTAAGAGTTTTAACGATTTACACTACTGATGAAAAGGTAATTGATATGATCAATTATCCGTAAGACATACTTTACCTTTCATATCGCTAATGAAAATGATGACTCGGTTGAATAATTGAACAACAAAAGGAAATCATTTTGAAGTAATTTATTCCTTGAGAAAATGGTAACACAATACATTTGTGGCTCATTATAATGGGTTTGACAGGAAGTTTAATGCAATATAGCGGAGTATTGAATATTATGTTTTTTTTTTTTATCAACATTAGTGAAGGAAAAACCGACAAAAACCATCGTAAAAGTAGAAACCACAACAACAAAGGCAGTTACAACGACTGTGTTCATTGAATTGCTCGGCGAACAATTGCTCCAGCACAGTGTTGATGAATCGAGCCAAACAACCACCTACATGCCCACCAGTAAACTCGAGGGCAAGACTGTCGGTCTTTATTTTTCGTAAGTCAGCTATTATCAAATTTATTGATGCATTCCATTTTTCTAAGTGGTCACTGGTGTCAACCTTCACGAGAATTTACAGTAAAATTGGCTGAAGCATACAAGAATGCATACGAATATGTGGATGGCAAGTTTGAGATTGTGTTTGTCTCCTGGGATAATGAAGAAAACGCTTATGAAAACTTTTACAACGAAATGCCATGGAAAGCGTTACCATTTACAGGTAGTTCTATATTAATTACTGGGGTAACGAATTCATCATCCATACGTGAGATGATGTGTTCTTAGATAATCGAAATTTGTTTTTTGCTTACTGAAAATAGTTGGATTTCATTTGTCTAATTTACTCTTGCACTTTTCCATGAACGCTTTGAGTCATATAAATCGCACTTTCTCTTCTTTAAGATTTGGTTTCGTTATGTTATTATGAAAGTGACGCCATCTTTTCTGAGTCAGAAATCATACGACCCTAGAACTCATCCACCAATTATTCTTATGGCACATGGAAGATATAAATTGATTGATCACTTTCTCTTTTTCGGTAGATCGAACTCGCTTGTACGCACTTAACAAAAAGTATGATATCAAAGGGATTCCTTCACTGATAATTCTCTCTGCAGCTGGAGAAATTATAACCTCAAACGGCGTCGAAGAAGTATACAATAATGGTGCTGATTTTTTCCAGCAATTATCACAAGGCAAGTGTCCTTTACTTTAAAGAGTACTGTACAGAAACGTATATGTGTTGCGTCGAGTATTTAGCAATTGATAAAAAACGTTTTACGTATGAACAAGTGTTTTAGTTTAGAAGTTTAGCATATTTCTTGAGTTTATGAGATTTTTGCGATTTCGACACGTTTTTACAAATGTTAGCTATAACTTTTGCAGTAAAAACCTTCGACTGGTCATCAACATCAACCAATCAACAAGTAATAACAACAACAACAACAACAACAACTCCCACCACCACAGCATTTAATCAGTTGCTCGGCTATCGATTACTCCAACACGATGGTCATGAATGTGCTAAGGCAACCAATTACGTAAACACGACTGTATTGGAAGGCAAAGCTGTCGCCCTTTATTTTTCGTAACTTGATTTTTATCATTATTCATTGATAAACTTAGTTTTTAGTGCTCACTGGTGCCGGCCTTCACGAGAATTTACAGTGAAATTAGTTGAAGCATACAACAGCGTTTACGAAGATGTGAAAGACAAGTTTGAGATTGTGTTTCTCTCGTGGGACAATGAAGAAAGTGCATTTGAAAGTTTTTACAAAGATATGCCATGGAAAGCGTTACCATTTTCGGGTGAGTATCGATTTATTTATAAGACAATGAACATAGCATTCATCATGTAGACGTCTTCTTCTTACTATTCGCAGCTCGGTAATTTTTATTAATTTAACTGCTATTTAGTTCACTTTAATGCACGAGCACGTATGCATGTGATACTACACAGAGTGTACGAGAAAATAGATTGAATATGCGAGTTTATCATTTGACTTGAATAGTTGTTTCTCAATTACTTCCTTTATATTTGAGATACTGGGAAATGTTCTCCATGCAACTTTCTCTGTCTGCAAGATAAGAGGAAAAGACAAAGAGAGCACATAGTTAATCAGAGCATGTAAACGTTTTTCTGCTCTCAAACCACTGATAAATAATTAAAAGAAACATATTTTGAAAGGTATGAGCTACTGCATATTTCAACTAGATCTGTTCTAATTTCGATCCCATCGGGACCGTTTTTATTTGGTTTCGGAGAATTCTTGCTTGAATTCGCTATAAATCGGTTTACTGTTTATGAATGTCAACGGGGATGGAAAACGAATAGCAAGGTGCAAAAGTATCTTTTATGCAATATCTGTTTTGTAGTTACTTGCAACATAATTCAAGGAGTCAACAGTCTTGTCTTAAAACTGAATGCTGCAATGCATTTGAATGTAGATAATTCAAAATTTGAAATCTCTTTACAATGAGAGAAACAAGTGATTCTAGCACTATCATTATTGGTTCTTAGCAACTGAATTTTCAAATGTAATGTTACGCCTAATTTTCGAACACGTAAAATTAGTTTACATTCGATAGAGTAGATCTAAGACTTGCTTTCAGTGATATCCAGGTAAAGAAATAAGAGCTACGGAAGAATTCCGATAATCATGTAGTTAGTGATTCCAGACATAGCTGGAAATTTTATCAACGATACAACAACTTTGCTCTGTGTTCAAAACAATTCGAAAAATCAGGAATATCATTTGCATTCAACAAAAAATAACTATTTTGTAGAGAAATGAAATTTAAAAACAACTTCCGTAGAATAAAAAAAACAGTAGAAATCGACATCAAAGAAGTTATCGTTGCAATAAAGAAAATTCTGTTCCAGTCAGTGGGCTCGTTTTTCTACAAGATTCAATCTAACCAATAGAAACGTAACACTTATGCCTCACTAGAGTCAGAAAAAATCACGATGCACTACCTAATTTGCAAATACTTTTATCGCTTTCGAACCGATAAATATGATTCGCGCGTTTATTTTTTTCTCCTTAGATCGAACTCGTTTCAGCACACTCATCGAGAAATATAGTATCGAAGGAATTCCATGTTTGATTGTTCTCTCTTCCAAGGCTCAAGTTCTCACTTCAAATGGTGTTGCAGAAATAAGCGGCAAAGGTGCCGATTGTATTCGAAGATGGTCAGGAGGCAAGTATTTATTTTTTTACATATAGAACACAATAAGGATAGGGTGTGGATGTAGACTGAATTCGGGGGTGAATTCATCTCATACTGATCAACAAGAGAGAAGGTCTATATCGTTCCAAAATACCCATAAGGTTGAAATGCATTCGACTTAGACAGTCTTCTGATTGAAAGCGTTTTACCTAAAAAATGTTGCCTGCTAAACATTTTTGGGTCGTTGCAACACGTTTTAGCATTGGGTTTCATTTTACTTTTATTGTTCATGTCATATTTTTCTAATTTTCTGTAGTATTAAATCAAAATGTGACAACAATAATGAACATGGCAGCCACAAAAAACTTGACGACATCACTTAAGACCAAACCAACGGAAACGACAGCTCTGACTCTGTTGCTGGGTGAGCAATTACTTCAGCACAGCGCTGAAGGAAAATTCCAACTCAATACTTACATATCTACGAGTGAACTTGAAGGCAAAACTATTGCTCTTTACTTTTCGTAAGTACACTAACGCTATATTCATTGATCGATTCCTTTTTTTTTAGTGGTCAATCGTGTCAGTCGTCCCGAGAATTTACACTTAAACTTGTTGAAATTTACAAGAGCGTTTACAAAGATGTGAAAGACAAATTTGAAATCGTATTTATATCCTATGATAAGGATGATAAGTGTTTTGATAGCTATTACAAACAAATGCCATGGAAAGCGTTGCCATTTGTTGGTAAGTTAAGACTGTTTTCTTACATTCATTCTTTGGACGCTTAAAACTACTGAAAAAGAAAGATTTTTAATGCTCGTAAATATTATGTTGACGAAAAAGGCTAGAAAAATATTGAAGAGAGTTCGAAAGAACGATCCAGCCATTTTGTTTTTACATATTGATCTGATCAGAAAATAGTTCTAATCGCAATCTTGAAAGCTCCCTATAATTTCAGTATTTATTTCACAAGATGATTCAATCTATAATATGGAAATGCGACGTAGGAGTATCCTATTAAACTCAGAAACAATATGATTTTATTTCTTCTGAACCGATAAACATAGCTTGTATCTTACTTTTTGTCAGATCGAACGCGTTGGAATGCGCTCAAAACAAAATACGCAGTAGGTGGAATTCCATGTTTAGTGGTTCTATCTGCAGCTGGTCAAATTCTATGTTCAAATGGTGTACAAGAAGTGAACAGTAAAGATACCAATTGTGTTCTACGATGGGCAAGAGGTAAGTTCTGTTTTATATGCACTACACGAAAGAGAACATGTGTGATATCGTACTCTATGAAATTTGTAGGACACGCTTACTTTTACATGTAAAACTGCTCGAGTAATACTTTCTCAATTATGAATGATGAAATTTTAATTAGAAATCTGCACTAGTTATAAATATCCATCATGATTACAGCTATTGGTCAAACTTGAAAATAGAAATATGAGTTTGACTATTTGAACTGGATGAATTTGACTGATTTGTATTGCTTGAACTGAATGCTGTAATAAGATACAGAACTTGAGATCTGTCTCGAGTTGCGACTTAAAGCGCGATATCATGATAATTTTCTATAAACATTTTATTTTATTAAAAACTGACAAAAATCGATCGCCTTTCATTGTTATTCAAGTAGCTAAAGGTAATGTTGAGTAGTGAATTGCGATTCTTGTCGTTCGCAAGGTAAACCTTCGGAAAAGTAAGCTATTTCTAAATTGGTTTATGAGCAACCGAATAAATTTTCATACTGAATCTTCGAAGACCCATAGTAACAAGAGCTTCACGATGAAGTGTATTCATCTGAGGTAACTTCGATAGTTACGAGTAAATGGCCAACCATCGATATATTAAGATTTAGTTCAGATTTCTATAAATAATATCAGTAACAGATAGATGTCACATAGTTTACTTATTTTAGTCAATCTGTCGGGCGAAATTTTTTGGGGCACATTATCGGGCTTGCAAAAGTCAATAAATGCTTTTTTTATTCAATAATACATAAATAAATCCTTCTGAATATATTTACTGGTCATGATTATATAGTTTTCTTCACTCATACTGATTTTTGTGGAACTTACATATATTTTCGAAGAAAATAGTGAGTGTAAGTTGAATTGTTAGGTTTTTGTGGCTCCCTTGTACCCCACCCCCTCCCCATTACAGACATAAAATATAAAAAAACTAACACTTAGATGCACTAATTAGAAATGTTTTTTGGTACAGGTCGATTACCTATGTTCACCACGACTCACATCAGTAATAAAAATCTAGTTTCACCAGCTAGCAACTAGTTTGTGCTACTATTACACTGGTTATTACTACCACCTACAATAAACAGATGAGGATTTTAATCTTTTTTTTCTCACACAAATACCTTATTCTAGAGCTTGAATCCACTTTAGTGTATTTACAATTCGCAACTTTTCATCCACTGAGAAGCTTTTATCAAAGTTTCGTTTACAAAAAAATGTATCAATTTCTCACCTGATAATACGAAAAACTATAAATTTTTCAACGATATTGGTAGCTATATCTTAAATACTGTTTAAACTTCTTATCTTCAAAGTATCAACACGATTCGCAAAGATGAACAAAAATAAAGTTGAGACTACACAAAAGCAAATTTTCATCATACTATATCTCAAATTCAGAACGATAGTACAGCATCGTAGAGCAAGTATTTTCATTCTATCATATGATAATATTCTCAGATCGAGCTAATTTACATCTGATAATTCTGAGTCAGCTAGCTCTGATTATGTCAATGCTTTGCTATCGAAGTATATTTGTCGATTATATTATGCACGAGTTGAAACACGTAAAGAGCTTGTGCCATACAGTAGGGTATCGATGAGATCACATATACACCGGAATCAGTCATTCTTTTTTGCCTATTTTTTAAATTATTAGCTGGCGAAAAGACAGAAGAAATAGTTTTCAACGAAAATCAACAAGAACCTGATGAAGAAATTCATGGGCAAGCAAATGAGAAACTTGCTAACACAGTAGATGCAAAAACTGTTAAAAGGGTGAATGAAAAACCTGTTAAAAAGGTGGCTAAAAAACGATCTAAACAGATGAATAAAGTGAGATACTCTTTTTGATGTTTTCTTCTTTGCCATTTATTGTATTTTTCCTTTAGGAGAGGCCCGTAAAAAAAGTCGTGGCCAGTAATGATGAGGAAATTCCACTGATAAATCGTAACAGAAGACTTGCACGCAAGCGATCGTGAGTATGATGTTTATAATGTATGAAAGGTTTTCATTTGTTTAAAACAATGATAGAAAACAATTCTGGTTGCTTTGTTTCGGCATCATCTGTCTGGTCATCTTTCTTATTGCGCTCCTGATGACTTTAATTATTTGGAAAGTTTTGCCTCAGGTCCGAGAGACGACTGTGGTGGACGATAGGAAAGAAGGTTAATCGTTTTATCTCAGTCACTATCATCTTCATCTGAAATACTTCTAGACATGCATGAAATTACACTCAAAACCATCTTCAGTACAAGTTATATACTGGAAAGAAACAATCAATCGGCGAACATAAAACATATCGAAGATCTTACTGGGCAAGTAAGTCATGGAGATGATATTTTATTTTTTCAAATTTTGCCCTTTTCTTTTAGCTAAACACGAAACTGGCTGAAAATAAAATTCGTGTTCTGAAGGGCTTCTTCCATAATAATGCAACATCAAAACGATACCACAAGTCAGTAGTGATTGGCATCTTATTTCTTATTTCTTAGTTTTTGTTTCGATGCTCATACAGGATGAACTGCGAAAATCCGTTGCACGGAAATATTCTTGAGTTAGATCTTATCGCAACGTTCTCTGATCAGTGCACTGATTCAAATGACACGTGCAAATTAAAATTACTGGAACAGTTAAAAGATACCTTAACTCAACATTTCAATATTCCTATTACGGTTGAACTTATTGATGATCAGTCTACGACTATCGATGTCAAGCTATGTAATATCACAGAAATCGCAGGTAAAAGTTAAGTCATCAAAGTGACAGTATCTCACATAGGAGTGTCATTCATATATTTTGGGGAAAGCATTAGTTTTAGACTTACATGACGCTTCTTTCCCTTCATAAAGTAGAAGCATTAATTCGTGTCGTGTAGGTTTATATATTTTCTATACTTCATCATAGACGATGATCTTAAATTTAAACGCTTCCAATGAATTCGATTTGCAGAATGTACCAAGATCTATACGATCTACTGACTATTAGTGCAGACACTTCTGATTGTAGCATATCTTTTTATTTATATTTGTAGAAACAGAAAATAGCGAAAGGACAATAGCAAGGAGAAAAATAAAAACAACGACAATGATAGCAAGAATAACAGCAGGGCCAACAATAATGGAAGAAAACAGTAAGTTATTACAATTACGTTCCTAAGTTTTGAAACATTTCTATGGTCATCAGTGAGCGAAATCGTTAAGTTCGTATCGATCTTTGCTACAATTTCTGAAATATCTATCCTATTTTATAACGATAGGCTAGCATTACTATTTTTTTTACATCTAATGTACCCTAAAACTTGCCAAGGGAAGTAATTTTAAAGACTCAATAGCACAACTGTAGAATTTGTCACACTAGTCTGTTTTTCAGCCTTATCAAAATTTTCATTATATTGTATCCTTATGATTCCATATTCAGCACTGTGTATAAAATATGAAATTATTTTTTTTATAATTCCACTAAGTTCTTCGACAAAACTTCTCGATACTGCATTAAAATGAGACGAATTTCATCATCGCACTATGTCTTTGATTTCTAATCATCAAATACCATCTCTCTATCCGAAAACCATAATAACTATTTTGTCTTCAGATTATATATTCACACATTTTGAGTCTTTACGCAAATTGTAATTTTTCTACTACATTCTATTTTCTTATATCATTCGCTTATTTTTGACTTCAAAAATGTTTCTACTATCATACCCACAACTAAACGCGTCGTAGTATTGTCTTGAAGTTTTCTTTTAGTCTACTGTTTTCTTATTTTGTGTACTATCAACATTTTCGAAAACGAAAAGTAATATTTTCTAGTCGATATCACAGCAGTACCTATCTTGGTAACTGATAGTTTCTGTTCCTTGGTTCCTGCTAAAATTATGCTTTTTGTCATGGACGGCGAGCAAGGAACAGGTATTCATGATGAAATGCAAACGACCACCGCGATCATAGATTATGATAATCAACATAATCAAACTGTTACATTGCATGAAGAGACAGTAAATTTGCTACGTATTCAGCTGGATTGTACTCAAAAATCCACTATCGATTCACTAAACTATGACTGTAGTCATGTTCATCATGTGGATGTGTGGATTGATTTTAATGACGACGGAAATTTCGATGGAGCAGAGAATCGAGTCGATGTACGATCTCCAAACAATGGTGAGTTGCCAGTAGGAACCTACGATTTGAAAATTTCAATACCTGCTATCGATGGTCGTCGGACGAAATATGGGTTACATCGAATGCGGATTCAAGTGATACCGAGTGACGATTACATTAGCAAATGCGGCCAAGCTGATTACAGTGAAACACGAGAATATACAGTCAACATCATTCCGACGAGTCAAGACTCAGGTAAAATTTTCAACTGCCTCACTGTAGATTAACTGTTCGATCGCTTGAAGGAATTTCTCTTCATCTTGAAATTCACACTTTTAACTTGACATCAAGCTGGGGAAAACTGATTGCACGCAGATTTTTACTTTGAGATTATTGTATTTCAGCCATTGATGATCTCTGTGTGCAGTAAGAGATATCTGCATGGTTTTATTACATTTCTTTATATGGAATCGCTGTGTCTACAATGGATCTTTCTTTTTAGTAATGTCACCTGTGATCCCACCCGTGATCTCTAATAATCCAATCTGTTCCGTGAAACCTGCAAGAATCATGTATGTTCACATGGCTGGACAACACGGTACAGTGATTCGAGATGAGACGAAATCCGATATTCGAATCAATGACTATCAAAAACTGCATCATATTACGGCTACATTATATGAAAGTTCTGTAACCACACTACGTATTCAGTTGGATTGTACTGAGCAATCGTATGATGATTCTACTGATAATGGCTGTAGTCTTGGTTACGATATCAATGTTTCGATTGATCTTAACGACGATGGAAATTTTGACGATGGCGAGAACCGAGTCGATGATCGATCAACTAACCATGATGAAATGCCTCAGGGAACATACGATTTCAAAATTTCCATACCTGCTATCGATGGTCGACAAATAAAAGCTGGACCACATCGAATGCGTCTCCGACTGACACCAAGCGAAATTTATACTAGAAGATGTGGCAGATCCGACTACAGTGAAATACGAGAATATATAGTCAATATTATACAGACGACTAGATTTGAAGGTAAATCAAATCACAATATTCTCTAAAGAGTTTGAAGCGCTATTATTCTGGAAATCTGTGCTTCGACAATAGATTATTATGAAGGCAACGGTTTAAGGACGTACTCCGATAAAAGCAAGGACCACAAGTTCAGAAAGCGATACATTTTATCTACCTAATTATAGTAGACTTTTGATTGATTTGTTCTAATCTGAAATCTCATTTTTTTTCTTGTTTTTCACTCCTAACATAGTACCAGGTAGTGTCTTAATTATTGTATGAGTGTCAATGTACAATCAAGCTCACACTGACGCACAGCTTATTTTACCAACTTCAGCTCAGTTAGTAACCAAATTCGTTCTTTCCCAATATATGATTTTCTTTGATTTATAAAAAAAAAGAATTGAAAATTATTGCATAGTCGACGGATATAGATGAGAAGGATACACTGTACTCTGTTTGTGACCAATTGAAACTCCCTCATGTAGCTCAACTCTATTCTCAACGCAGTATACGGTCCAAAATATTTTGATTATGTCATGATACATTTTGTAATCTGGATACGCAAATTTGTGAATGCCTTTTTCTTTTTAGTACCAGCCGTGATTTCTCCTGTGGTACCCAGTAATTCACTTTGTTCTGTGCAACCTGCTAGAATTATATTTGTTAACATGGTTGGACAGCAAGGTACAGAGATTCGAGATGAAACTGGAACAAATTATGTAATTAGTGAGCATCGAAACCGCCATCATGCCACTGTTACTTTATATGAGAGCACTGTTAATATACTACGAATTAATTTAAACTGTGCTGGAAAACCTCATCAAGGCTTGCATGATGATGCATGTAATCTTAGTTATAACATCGATGTTTGGATCGATCTGAATGATGATGGGAGATTTGATGAAATAGAGAACCGAGTTCTTCATCGATCACTAATGCATAGTCGTGGGCCGCGTGGAGCGTATGATCTGGAAATTTGTACACCTGCTATCGATGACAGGTATGCAAGAATCGGGCAACACCGCATGCGCCTTAGTCTGATGGTTAGTGATGATTATCGAAAACAATGTGGTGAGACTGACTACAGTGAAACACGAGAATACATGGTCAATATTGTTCCAAAGGCGATATGTGAAGGTAAAATCTATTCAATTGTTATATAAGTTGTCTATCCATATGTCGGTAGTATTAGGAAGTATCATCGCTTTGTAAAGTAAAATTACAAGCTTTCTTTCAAAAATTAACTTGATGAAATTCAAATTTACACGTAGTAGTCGAAATCTGTAATTATATGTTTAGAGATGTAGCTATAAAATTTATTTCAGAATTTTCTAATAAAGCTCACACACGTAGTCAAGGTTTATAAATCTGAGATGCATGCTCGCATTCTATTTCTTCAAAACAAAATGTGTACTATACTAGAAGATGTTGATGCACATGCGACTGATGCTTCATTTTGAGTGCATTTAAGTCTTTGAGTTTAAAATACATACATTCATATCCACATCGTACATCCATTATCTTAATCAATACTTTCAAGGTATATTGATGAATGTTAGCTATTGTTTAATTAAGACGGATAATTAACTCACAGAATCACGTTCTATACATCATTTCATAGATGTTGATTCGTTTCAGTGACTCACACAATCTCACCTGTCGAAATAAGAAACATTATTTGCTCTGAAAATGCTGGGAAAATCATGCTTGTTCATATTAATGGTGAGTTAGAAACACAACTTCGCGACGAAACAACAACAAATATTGTAATCAGTGATAATCGAAATCGACACAACTTTGCTGTAACACTATATGCAGATGCTGTCTATTCTGTTCGTATCCAATTGGATTGTTCTCGACAGTACGACAGCGATTTACGGCAAGCCGACTGTAACTTTGCTCATCATGTGAATGTATGGATTGATCTGAATGATGATGGACAGTTTGACGCATCTGAGAACCGAGTTTATCATCAGTCATCAGTCAATACTGAAATTTCAGGAGATATGCATGATTTACAAATTTTCATACCTATTATTGATGATACAACTACAAAAGCTGGGCAACATCGGATGCGCCTCAGTGTGATACGAAGTGAAGCTTACCGCAGACAATGTGGCAATACTGATCATGTCGAAACACGAGAGTACACAGTTAAGATCATACCGAGAAAAATATGTCGAGGTAAGTTTTATATGTTCATTCAATGTTATACTCGGAGTCGCCTTTGAAAATGTGCAATCATTTTGTATTCGAAAGGCAGCTGAACCTTTGTAACATTTCTGCAAAAAGATAAACAGCAGTATTAAATCTAAGATTACTTCTTTAATGAAGCATCTTTTAGAAAGCAGAATTCAAAAGAAAATCTATGATACAATCAGTATATGACAAGAAAATATGCAATGGAAAACAAATATCTTTTCCATTTTAATCTATTATGATCTGTAACAGATGATGGCCAGTTTGTTCTCTTTGATCTTTGGGTGTGGGTGTGAAATTACGAAATTCTTATTTTAACCTTGATACTACATGGTGTTTTGTTTAGATAATGAATATTTCAATGAACCCGAGTCAGATGCCATTATCAATTTGTCAGCAGGTTTGTGATCGTTAAAATTTGATTTCACTTAGTTTAAAATTAACTTGAAAATGTTATTCAATTGCTCTAACTATTAGCCGTCTTTAATCACCTATTGCATTGAAATGCTTAACAAATAACATGTTTTTCTACAACTTACCGCGTATGCTTATGAACGCTACAATATTTCTAATAGTAATTGTTTCTTTTAGATTTTTCAAGGCTAACATATTGCTCGCCAGGAAACTTCATTTGTTCAACAGGTAGTAGTGCCATTTTTTCGGTGCAGTTATCTGGTGAGCAAAACTCAATGATTCACGATGAAATGACAAGATGCAGTTCGATAAATAATTATGAAGATCGAAGTCATTTAGCTGTAAAATTGTTCGACAATAAGATCTATAGACTTCAAATACAGTTATACTGTGTAAATATTAAGGATTATGAAAATCCACATAGACAAGAACCACTTTTAGTTGGAACAAATTGCAACTTAGCTCAAAATCTAGATGTATGGGTTGATCTGAATAATGATGGCAGCTTTGATGAGAGTACGGAGCGATTTTCTTACAATGATCAGCATTACGATGACAACATGAAGGGTTACTATGATTTAAGTATTGCCATTCCTGAGATCGATGAAGAAAATAGCGTTAACAAACCTCACAAAATGCGCATAATCTTATCAAGAGATGAACAATCTCGGCAACCTTGCAACAACGCCGACTACGGCGAAGCACGAGACTATACAGTACATATCTTACGGAAATCTTATTATTGACACCTTATAATTTAGGAATTTTTCGTTTTCTTCTCTTTTCAATACAACTGAGCCTGGGAAGATAGTCCTATGGAATTAGATTATCAAATTTTATTTTTATACCGTAGTATCGTTTTAGGGTGCTTGCATTTTGTAAATGTAAGGACAATTTATATAAATACGTATATAAATGCCCAGATGCTTGTATTTTTTAATTAGGCTACTTTATGTTGTAGAGAATAACTTGCACATTATTCTTTCGAGAGAACTACAAAATTTGACTAGTAATCTCTTGATGGTAAGAAAATATTTAAAGTGAATTCGTCCTTATATCATACCTTCTTTGTGGAACAATAGTAATTTTTTGTCGGAAACTTCTTACACACAATGAGATTTACTGGATCATTAAATCGATAACATTTTGAGTTAACTTATTGCACCATCTATTTTTTCTGTAATTTCCATACGAAAAGGTGAAAATTTAAAAAAAAAGAAGCTCACAGTCTTCATTTCTCATAGAAATTCAGTTGTTTCAAACAGACTTCTGTAGTACGAAGTATTTTGATGGATCAATATTTAATCATTTGAAGATGTTGAGCATAGACTCTTTTATTTATTTATTATAAGTATGATATATAACATATGAGGTAATTACCGTGTTAATTTTCATCTTCAATTGACGTCTATTCAACAAAGTTACAGAGGAGAAAATTAACTTTTCATGTAGCAGTTTCGCTGTGTTGTTCGTTCTAGCGTGCATGAGACATCAAATCGAGATAGAAGAGCGAAGAAGAATGCATTGAAAGAAAAAACCTTTACACATGTTTTTATTCTTCTTTAAAATAAAAAATTGCTAACTCTGAAGACGCAAGTTTTAGGTTTGAATCGTTGGCATAATCGCATACTTTGTATACTATATTAAATAAATACAGCAAAAAATAACAATTGACCGGTTATAATTGGCGTAACCTAACTGAGATGCCATATAATTAAAATTTTCCGGCTAACATTTATGAGACCTATAAGATATGTGTTTGCAATTTGACGACGCATGCAAATGTTTAAAAAGTTTTAAAAAACAAACAAATCAAAGTCGGCTTGTTTTGCACCACGATTTTAGTGGTGTAGTATATCTATTAATCTTATAAGCACTCTCGTTTCAATTTTAGATGGGTTACAGCATCGAATGCCTTAATAAAGTTTATAGACTTGTTCGCGCATGTTTCTAACACCATTCAGGGCGCAGTGCTAAACAAAATAAGGCTTTCAATCTCTTACACTATGCTTATAGCAGAGTGTGGAATGCCTTTTCATGCACGCACAATCACACTGTGAGCAAACGACGATAAACATGCGAATCAGCGTTCATGATCTACGATTATTCATACTAAAGTTTTCGTCTAACTCATCATATACACCCTAGCTGTAATAATCATAAAAATCGAAAAAATCGATTAAAATCGTATGATTATAACCGATTTTGACCTCTCTAAAGCTGATTTCTTCGACATTTTTTTACATGGGTTATTCCTTTACTTCACTTAAGATTTCGTAAATTCGTTCACGTTCCTACACCGTGAAATTTCGTATATTCGAGAATGTTTTATGGTAACAGGCAATTGAATGCCGGCACTCAATCACTTTTGTTTTAAAGAAAATCAATCTAATGTGGATTCATTGTAAATAAGATCCCATTCCAACATATCCTCTTGTTTGGGTATGTGAATTGATATTGATTATACATGATAGCACTTTAGTCATTGACTGTGAAGAAAACATCTGTTAAACATTATTCTTTCCTAAGTGGGTATCACTTGATAAAAAAATCTAGATGATTACCATCAATATAGACCCGGTGAAAACTAGCTACTTATTAGTAAAATAGGCCACCAAAAGTAACGAAAGTAACAATAAGTGAATTTTGTTCAACATTTTTCTCGTCTCGTAAGTCACGCTAATAACATGAAAAATGCCTTTCACGTTTATGAAAGTATGATAGAATTGATTTAGTAACTAAAAGACGCTCGCCTTCTCATATATTTCACTTCTCAAATAATATAAACTGATTATTTGTTCATTCAAATCGAAAATACTATACTTTTTTAAGTGTAAACTGTATTGTTATAGTTCAGAAGTAGACTGGTGAAGATGAAAACATACTTTAACCGCTTCAATTATTATTACTTCAGTAATTTTTCGGAACCTACTTTTTCTCGATATGTAATTTAAGAGTTTTGGAATTCAAATGAGTAATTTAGTTGACATGTTGAAGAGAAAGAAAAACGAAGCTTCATCATTGAGTGATGGTAATAATATCTGGTTTCCAGGGAAGCTGGAAAAAGTAAAGTAGCAAGAATTTTATTATGAATACTTTTCATTTTTTTCATTTCTCGTCCTATGAGATGATAAATTTTTTCTTTGCTTCCTTCATTATAGAATCATTTCGACAGTAGGATCCTATCGGATTTCGACAAGGATCAGCCAGTGAACATACCGAATACCATATGTGTTTCGATAAAAACGACGAAATATTACGGGATTCTTAGACACGGGTTTACAGTCGGATCCTTGCTATTTTATCCAATCGGATCCGATGTCGGATTTTAACGGAATTCAACTCTATCGAATCACCCTTGCGCTCTGATGGCTCAAAATCCCTATTTGATCGCGAATAAGAAAATGATTTTTTCCGTCGGAACCGACAATAGGCCCGTGTCCAGGAATCCTAGCAGATTCATTCATCTGGGATGGCGATGATACGAATAATGTTTTACCTATTATTTTTATCCATCAGCATTTTAGTTCTATTAAACAACTGAGATCAGAGGAAATTACTCTCTGAGACATTCTTTCAGTTGCCTGACTTGTTAGTGACTATTTGTTTTTTTTGTGGTTAAGTCAACACCAAGAACCACAACCACTTCACACCATCTGAATAATAGAATATGCAGTATTCTTGTGATCATTGTTTTCTGACTATCGACTACCTAGAGAAAGTAGACCGTTGTGCATAACCTATCTGCTCAAAATCAGATATACCAGCAGCTGTTCTAGATATATATATACATGTATATTCTTATCTCATTTTTTTTGCAGTGTAGCTCTAGATACAGCGAATAACGTATCTTTCAAAATAGACACAGATGGTAATTATTCCACAATGTTTATGATAAAATTTAAAAAAGTTGACAGTCAAACCGACAAACGATTTTATCGTCGTGTGCAATTCGTATTCATAATCATGCCATTAGGAAAATTCTTCAAGGCAACTAATGTTGTTTGGTCACTCGTCATAATTGTACTTTTGAATAATCAAGCATCGAACTCTGAACATTCTGTCTCGACTTTCATAAAGAATGGTGTTATTTGGAATGATACTGATGGCCAATCTATTCAGGCACATGCCACAGGTATTCTTATTGACCCTCACGATAATTCATATTGGTGGTATGGTGAGTCTTTAAAAACCGCAAATCTATCTGATCATGGCATCAATTGCTACCATTCCACTGATCTTCTCACTTGGACAAACATGGGTCAAGTACTTGGACAACAACAAGTTTCTATTCAAGGTCAATCAGGACCATATGTTATTGAACGGCCAAAAGTTCTTTGGAATTCTGTTACCGAGCGTTTCGTCATGTGGTTTCACTTAGATAGTAGTAGCTACAGTTATAGATACGTTGGTATCGCCATATCACCTGTTCCCAATGGTGTATTCACATTCATCCATGCATTTCAACCGGATGGTATTCCATCATTAGACATGAATCTCTATGAAGACAAGCGAAACGGTTCAGTTAGAGGTGCATATTTAGTTCGCTCATGTAATAATCAATATGTTGGTATAAGTCGACTCACTGATGATTATCTCAACACCACTGGTCTAACAAGTACTATCAATGAACCACGAGAAGGACACGCGATATTTCATCGCAACAATAACTATTATATGATGACAAGCCATCTTACTGGTTGGATGCCAAACCCGGCTGAACTTTTCATCAGTAATGCAGATAGTTTACAAGATGCACAATGGATTTCATTAGGCAATCCAACTAATTCCGTTACAACATTCAACACTCAGTCAACTTTTGTTCTTCCATTTCCATCTACTAAACAACCAGGGACTCAATTCTATATTTACATGGGTGATCGTTGGAATTATCCTGCTTTATTGAGTGCAAGTTATGTATGGCTTCCGTACAAATTCTATTCAGACACGAATGTCACCTTGGAATGGCAGGATCAATGGAGTCTATCAGACTACTAAAGGGTGTGTTTTTCCTTGGTGAAAACTATTTCTAAATATGAACTCTCACATTCGTGTCAGAAAGTGGCATGAACATAGGTGTGATTTTTACTTTTAATGCAGTATTAATCATATGCTACACATATGGTTAATTGATATTCAAAAAATGATGGAACACTAAATAAACATATCACATATATATTTCTATATAATGAACGATAATGTTGCTTGAATTGTTCTCTTAATATAAATACGAATGATTCTCCAAACAGTCGTCTTTTATATTTTAGTAGATGATGAGATATTTACTGATTTGTATAGTCAGAGTCACGTCAAATTACTCACAGCTGTAAATATATCCACCCTTCTCATTAGAAAGATCAACGAATACATACCATGCACAGTGGCAATTGGTCTAAGTAATGCTGTGATATTCTATTGCTGACCTGGAAACAGTCAGATGCAAAGTGCACGAGAAATCCTACGGTCTAAAATCGCAACCTAAATCACGTTATACAATTTTTGAAATATCTGCTCTTACTACTTTTCTATTTCTATAAGCAATTGAAGATTAAAAACGCTATTTCAAGTAAACAAAAAAAGCAAGCGTCAAATCAATTTGGAAAACGAGTATAAAATAATTTCAAAGTTATGTTTCTTGATTATTTCAGATCAATTTTGCAATATCTTTATCAGTTACACTCATAAAACTGGCGGCGTTCACAATTCATGATGGATATAAACGACGACAATCAGCTCAATTCTGTTGTCAGAAAATAGACATTTCACAACTTTAACACAAATCGAGAACATCAATTTGTTTGCTCAATAATCATATGAAACTTCTACTTCTCAAATACGACTATTATTCTTGGCCATAAAAAATAGCATAAACAGGCTAACGCCATCTTTCTGCTGTTCTTCTTTTTATGTGCAATGGTAATATTTGGCCAGATTAATACACCTATCTCTACAAAGTATATCTTGTCATGTCATATTTTTGAAGTTTTGTTTTTTTCTTATTCATTTCATGCAGTAAGCTTGGATTACATCTTTCATTTCAGTTACGATGAGTGACTGTTTCTTCAGGTTGGTGATAGAAGGATTCATAGATGATGACAATGATAATATTTCAATCTAGTAAACCGACTGTAGTATAAGACAAGTATCTTAAAATATTTTCTTTTTGATTATCTTTAGCGAAGAAATAGCGACATTTATATCGATATGAACTCGTTTTGAAGTTAGACATATTTCACGAAATGTTTACAGTTAAAAGCAATAATAAAACAAGCTGGTAAATCTTTTGTAATTCTTAACAGAATAGTTAGTGAATAATTATTAGTTTAACTCACAGATTCAATTTTGTCATAGCTGAGGTCATGATTAATATTTCCATAATACTCCCGTTCAATCCTTAGCTATCGATTGCTTCTTGATCGGCAACAAACTAAGCAATTCAAATTTTATAGAATATCATCATAATGGCAATAAACACACATGTTTCCACTGATCAGCCAGCTGCATTGTCAAGAGATCGCCTTCTATTTGTTTACAATGCTGATTCTGGTTTTTTGAATATGCTGAAAGACTGGACTCATAAGATTGTAAGTCCTTCGACCTACGATTGTCAGTTATGTGCACTAACATATGGTAATACAGGAATGCGAAAAAAATGGCATACTTTTATTTCGAATTTATCTTTTGATACAATATTTTTACATCGTGACGAGCTCGGCAAACAATATCCCAGCTTAATAAACACACCATTACCTTGCATCTTTCTTGAGAAAAAAATTGACAAAAGTGTCCAACTTGTATTAGACGCTGAAACAATAAATAAACAACAAACTCTTGATCAACTGATTGCTGTCTGCAGTCAATCGATAGATACGCACATGCACATTGAACCTTAACAACATAATCAAGTGTTTTTTTGTGGATCTATTCGAACACAACAACAGTACTATAATATAACGCGAATCATTATCTTGCATGCTAAGAAAATGATCTGATGCAGTCTTTATTTTTCAACAAATTGTTTTTTCTTCAATAAAAATTCCTACAAAAAGATAGTTTGTTGTCTCTGGTGGCGATGATACAGACAAAACCTTTTTATGAACACATGTCAATTTTCTATGAGGGAAATTCAAAATGTGATAAGACGTACTTTTTACAGCAGGTGACGTGAAAAATTATATCTAAAAATGTTTTCTCTTTTAATTTTCACGTTTCTTTTACTTCTCAATTAGTAACTGTTATGCATTTTCGAATCGATATGTTAACTGTGACAAAATTCCATATCTATATCGACACAGATTGAGTTTGTCAAAAATAATTTTCCGTGATATATTCTTTTTGTTATCGAGTTAAGATAAATCAAAAAGCATATGTGTCGACTTTTGATACATACAGTCGATTCATATTGTTTTTTAATGAGATCTGATTAGACTTGTTTGAATTAGTATTCTTTAGAAGAAAATTTGCTTTTATATACTAAAGTTTAAATTATAATCCGTAATTTCTAATTCGTTTTGCTGTGATTTCCAAGGCACGGATCTCTATTGCCGAAATGTCTTCCTCATTTTTCTCTGGAAATTTCAAGTTTTTCCTTTTGATCGTGCCATGGTTTATATCAATGAGTTCACTATCCAATCAGTTGAAACTAAATTTTGTTGGTATTACCGAGCTGAATTCAACTCCGTGATAAAAAGTAATATGATCACGAATAATTTATTCGATCACCTCTCTACTCGGGCGGATAAAAAATATGGAAAACTAGACTAAAAGAACTGAACATTCGAAGGAGTATCTTCACCATTTTCCATCCTAAATCTATGTCACAAGATGCAAACGATTGATGGGAAATGTGTGGCATCATTCAATGATTGCTTGAATTTTTTTCTTTATTACCGAATGAACTTTGCGGGAAGAAACAGCTGCAGTTTTGGAAAGAATATTCTCGTAATTTATTCCTTCTCTATCTACGCTGGGTAATACTAGTAAAAAGATATTACATGTTTTGAAAGTAAAAGTTAAAAACTCAATCAATGCCAGGCAAATATAGGATAATTACTCACATTTGGATTGTTTCAGCTTCAATGGCTTGGATTGGATGATTATTCAGTTCATTAAACTGATTCTTAACAAGTCATCGAACACTAGTTTATCTTTATTAGTGATTGTACTTTTAATGAATTATTAATCATTGTCTGTTGTCATTCTGTGTGTCATAGAATATCTTGGATTATGTCCTGAAAATCATCTTTCGAAGATTTCAGACACATGTCAAACATCATCCCAACATGGTTTTCACAGAATACTTTTTTTACAAAGGATGAGTTGCATTATACCTGTGCGACTGTGTCTGTTTCTTTTATATAAACATGATAACTCAGGGTTTTGTTTTCTTATGATATTTGAAAAAGATGATACGTCTCGTTGCACGTCGTAATTATGTATATTTTTGGTCTAGAATAGATGAGGTTTTTCGAAGAACGAATGGCAATCTTCCTTTCGGGTAAAAAATAATAAGCTCCACATATCGTCGCCATCATCGGAAGCCAATGTTTCAACAGTATTCATAGCGAAATGTTCACAATGTAAAGTAAAAAGCGCGCTTGAATCATGTGAAATCTACGAAGACGCTAAATGTAAAAAGTGTACTACACAACATATAATGGAAGCAGAAGAACTATGGGACCCAATAGGGAACAGTGCAATGAATTTATATGATAAAAAAAGTAAGTTTTCCATTGTCATATCCATTGGATAATTTAAACAAAGATTAATTGTGTATTTAGCATTGATATACAGAAATCTACATTCTTCAGCACAAGAAAGTTTACAAGAAATTGCTCAAAAGGTATGACCGTTGTATTTCTGCGGAGATAATAAGTTTTGCAATGTTCTAATCACATTTGTGCTATCTGTACTTATAGTGAGGACTCTTCTTTCCTTAAAGATGATCCGACTGAGTTGGAGATTGTAATTGAACGTATGCAGAATTTTTTCCGCGAAGAATCGAATGAAGACGATAATATTGGAAATCAAGTTTGATATTTAAAAACGTTATAGATGTAAACAAATAGATAGATTGTTTGATTTTTTTTCTTTGGCATTTCGAATTTAAATCGAACCGTGACATGCTTGATATTGGCAGAATAAAATTTGTAAAGGTGGCACGCATTGACTGTGGTAAGTAATGGGTTTACTCAATAGTTTTCATAGTTTGTAGTTCTGTATCCAAGTCATATGAAATATCGATAACACACTAAATAGATATGGAACCGGTACGGACGAATGAAATTGTGCACAAATTGATATCTCCGAAGTAGAAATATTAGTACATTGTCGTTTCTAAACTCGTTCTCATATACCTCAGAACCTTTTTTAAAACTAATTTTAGTTTCCTTTGCGAGATTGTCTAGTATAATAGAGTTCTAAAACTTACTGTCATGATGATCTAAAGCTGGAAAAATATATAGAACACGTTTGTACAGAAATCTGTACAAGTTACAGTGTTGCTCATCGAGAAATTGAGACATAAGAACCACATGATTGAAAGCTAAATAAATTGTAAAGCTTCCTAATGAAAATGATAGATGTTGAAGGAGAAGACAGTAAAAATTAGGCATTGAAAAGAAACATTTTTTATTTCAGTTTTTACTCATGTAATTAAAAGCTCTATCAAACTTAATATAGTAGTACCCCAAAGTATAGATGCAGCAATCAAAAGCACGATCATCACAAAAAGATATCAATGGAAGTATGTCGATAATTCGGAATATTTGGATATGAAAATAATCTAGAGACACTTTAGAAATCTTCGGATAGGTTGCTTCGAGTCTATTGGTGTGCCCTAGTTTTCGAACTATTTTTGTATAGTTAAATAAAATACTTGTTTTGAAAGTGTATACTCACCTATTCTGAGAAATCGTCTTAAAGATTAAGCCCTAGTGTTTCTCTTAAAGTCACTCTTTCATTTATATTCTGATCTATCAATATTTCAAAACTTCAGGAATAACTGAACACAATGCAAAGTTGATTCCCATGGTAAATATGATAATAATTCAACTAAGCGCATTAGTTTATAGCGTAAACTTCTCTTAAACATTATTTGTAGCTGTTCCGCCACGTAGATTGAAATTTTCTACTCGCCGACGATATCCTGACGTCGAGAAACGAATAGCGCGTGTTACTGACAGTAAGCGCAGGACTGATGACATATTGGCTGCAATAAATGGCCCACGAGCAACACGTGAAACACGGATGGAAGCAGTTGCATGGATTACTCTATGCCAGTTTAACTGTTGCATCTTTGGCGGTTTTGTACGTGACTGGATCGTGGGTGGCTACATCTCAAAACCAGCTATACATCAGCATCCTACTGCATGGATTAAATATACCAAGTGCATTGATAAAAACGGGTGCTCCAAAAATCTACCACATCTGAATAAGGAGATAGTGCCGAATGATATAGACTGCTATTTACTAGACAGCGATTTTAATATTGATCAATACGTGAAATGCTTACGCGAATATGGTATTAAGTGTGAAGTTTGCTGTGAAATCTGGCGTGGTTATGTTTTACTCGTCGATGAACATTTGTCACCATTTACAATGGATATGATATTACCGGACGCTACATTAATATCGCACAAATACCGTATTATTGACATGAATGTTAATAATTTATTTGTAGAGAAAGATTACACATGCGCACTAGGACTACGCAGTAATTTGGCACATAAAGAAATAGATAATTTATGTGTATTGGAAACAATTGTTAAAAATATGAAAAACAAACGTTTTGTCGTATTACGGGAATTTTATGTGAAAGATCGCATAGAGAAAATGGTCAAGCGTGGCTGGACAGAGATAAAATAAAGATTCTAATAATTGCTTAATAAATAGACCGTCGCACTGAATAATGATTTCAAGAAACAATGATGACTGACAAAAGACCTATTTATAGAACATATCAGCACCGCACATTATGACAAGAGAACGACTTATCATAATTTGTTTATTAACAAAAAATACACATATTTTTACAAAATAGTACATATATTTGATTTATCTGTTTTGAGAGACGCCGGACGATTATCTCTTAGCAATTTTTCTGAAGCAGTTGCAAATCGATTAAATTCATGCGGTGGCATATCGGCACCGTTGTATTTCTGAGCAAAGATTCTTGCATATGTATTCATATGTTTTTCACGATCTTTGACTAACATTTGCGCATAGTTGAGCATTTCTTCGCCAGTTTGAAAGTTAAATAAATCACGAAATTGTGTTGATAGTTGATTGTAAGCAAACCACATATGAATATCGCCACTAGTTGATGTCCATTGGTCGACTGGACTGAGAGCATTCAAGGAAGTCAGCTGAGCGGTAATATTATTAGTTGATATCGAAGATTCATGACGTGGTGGTAACGTTGCATGACTTATTGGTGGTTGTGCTGAGAGATTCTCATTAACGAGTACTTTAGTTGGAGAAAGTGACGAAAGAACTGTATTAATCAATTCAGCTATTTTATTTTGTTCCAATTCGAACGATCCTCGAAAACGGACATACTTTATACCAGTCATTCGAATACCTTACAAAACAAAACGAATAGAAATCAAGGCAAATAGAAATTTTCTTCTAAAAAATAACTCACCAAGCCATCCTTTCGGTTCGAACTGTTCAATTAGTACGGGTAAGATTTTTTTCTTGAGTGAATCGGTAGCATAGATAAATTCTTTTCGACATGATTTACTTTCAAAATATTGGCCGGAAAGAAGACATACAATAATCGATGCTTGTTCCATACCGTCGGCAATTGACTCCCATAAATCTTCAACTCCTTGACAATGTGTTCGATCAATCCATATGTCAAAGGCATCACTATGTTTACTTAGTAAATCAAACACTTGACTACAAAAAGGATTATCTGCATGACAATAACTAATCATAATCGATGGTTTAGTGGATTTTCTAGTAAATAGAATTTCAATACTATCTCATTCATAGAAATAATTCTCATACTTTTCTATTGTATCCGAAATGAAATCATCGACAGAAATATTCTCTCTGTTAAGTACCAACTCATGTTTACTGTCTAGATTGAGATTGTGTAGAATGCCATGTGCTGCTTCCTTCACACCTTCCATCGATCGTGGTTTATATTGTTCGAGAACTTCATTTTCTTGATCATCCTCGACGAATCTTCGAATCGCTGCAATAAATTCTTGGTCCTGAATTAACTCTGCTGAATAGGTCTGTTGAAACGATATACTCCAGAAAATATTTAATAAGGCTGTCAATGTAAATTGTTCTAGTAGATCGGTTCCGTTTAATGCTTCGGCAAATTTGAAGAGTAACGACGCGAATAGACGTATCTTCGAATGCATATCCGATGGGGGCCGTGTTTCAGCATGACACAGGATAAAGTCAAGTGTACGTTCTTCGACGACGAACATTTTCACTAAGACACATAATGGTTCACTAACATGAAAACCGTCCCGTCGATAGCGATCACCTTTGGCAGCATTCATAACAAGTTGCAACAATTGATTGAGCACAATATTCATGCCTTGTTGATCACGTTTCAATTCTTCAGGTGTAGAAAGAAGCGCTAAAACCATTGAAGTGATCAAAATTGGTGCATCGTTCTTCTCTATTTTACTTGAAAACCAATAGAAGATTGAATAGCATTATGTCTTTTGCGTAAACTTACGTTTTCTGATACTGTTTGATGATTTCAATCGCTCCATATTTATTGAGTTCATCGACACCATCATCATGCCGAGCAGTATTATGAATAATACTAATCAGAGGTCGACGACTATTAGCTGTCAGCTTTGAGGCTTGCGCAAGCCAACCGACACTTTTCTTGGCGAGATCACATCTTAATAATATCGGAATAAGTACGGTTCGATCGGCTGTATTCCAAATTAAACTCAGATGTCGTGAAATAATAATACCTAATGAATGATTTTTTTCTTCAACTGTTTGACAATGGTCGGGCATACTTTCTTCGATTTTTTCAATCAACAGACGATATAAGTCGGCATGCTTTTCAATAAACTGTCGGTCTTCAACGGTCGAAAATGGTAGAAATGATACTGTTTGTGTTGCAATCCGTAGAAGATAGTAAATATGCTTGTAATAAATCTTATTCTCTGGTAAACCCTGCTGTTCTGTTGTTAACTGAAGAAAATATCTCATATTCGGATGATTGAGCTGAGTAATACATGAAAAACAGCTGTTTCGAGCGATGTTCACATCTTTTCGTATGAAAAGAAAATTGCTAGCGTTGATAAGACGAGGTAGAGCTTGAGCACATTTTACATAACATGATTGAGCATCAGACGGTAGGATCTGAAGAATTTCACACCACAGAACTAAGAATTGTGACCACATTTCTTTCTTCAATTGGCTAGTTTTTGTTGGTAGAGCTTTTAATTTCTCTAGCCGATCTATCAATGGTTGATATGCTGATGTTTCAGTTTCATCCAACACTTCATCCAGTATACTTTCCGGAGGATCAATAATATCCGTAATTAATTCTTCAGCCATTTTGTCTACAAAAACGACAGATTTTACGTAAATGTCAGTGCATTTTTTATCATGATGACTATTCTCATTGGCATGACTACCACATAAACGTGTTAGCGTTGTTGGCGGAGGAAGAAAAAGAGCAGATTTTTCTTCTTGCTTTCATTATTGCGTAGTTTTTTTCATCTATTTGAGCGAATTGTATTTGAATTTAAGCATATAGATAATGTTAGCTCCGCGAGTGAGTTTTTTTATACATCCTCAATATTTAATCGTTTCTTTTAAGATCTCGAAGAAATAAATTATGAATCAGCAAGCTTACCTTCAGAAGAATAACTAGCGCTACTGACGTGGCCGTTTATTCTTTCTATTGCAGAACGCTCATCAAATCGTCAACGTGTGATGCGTCGTCAAACGAGAAACTAAAACAAAACCTCTTTATTGACTCTCGTAATGTGAGACGATAAAGAGAAATTGTGTGAAATTTGGATGAAAACGTTGTTTCGTATCAAACAGTGGAGATCTCATCGGCAATCATTGATGCAGCAACATATCATCAAAGTCATAGTGCTATTGTTGATAGTAAAATTCAGGAGAACAGTTATCGGCTGAACAGGCTAACCTAAGATTATTTCAAACATTTCGTAATTAATTAGCTGCAGAAACAGTCCACCAGTTGGTGTTAGCGATGGACTGAAAGATGCATCGATCTCTTCCACGAATTGCTTGTGGATCATAATAATATTCGAAAGTAGATTTCTGCTAATGAATGGTCAGCATTCGAATTAAAGATATGAACTGAAGATCTGTAAGATAAAATAGTCGTATTTCACTTACTAGATATTTTGATTACTCTCGAAGAAGAACTAAGAAAAAGTATACAATATCTCCATTCTATTATTCAATAGGCCATGGTTTACCGATTGTTTTCGATTTCTAAACTACGTGTAGCGAACAAACACTTGGAAAAATCTTTCAGCATCCATAGCATAGATGCGAATTAAAGTTTACTAATCCATTGACAACAGCAAATATTACAACTGCTTTTCTTTTAGAATAATTTATTTATTTATGTATAAGCTACAGCTATGTTTTACTCGCGTTTCTCTTCTTTTTGCCTATCACGACAGTCAAATCCATGACAATCACTGCCATTAAACACATAATATAATGAAAAAATAGAAAAAAGACTAGATGTAAAACTTAATTGAACTAATCCTCGCTATTTGATTGTTGTTCTTTTTCAGCAAGTTTTTTATTTGCCATATTATTTACTTCGTTCCAGAAATTAACTAAACGATTGTTATCATTATCACAAAATGCCCGAAAGTCTGCTAGCATAATATCTTGATATTTTTCTTCGCCTGTTTGTGAACTTCGCCATTTTTTTCCTAAACAAAAATTCCAACACCAATAAAATCCACAATTTAATTGTGATGAATGGCTATCAGCTGTAAGCCCACTTGTTATAACACGTGTTGGTTGAGAATTACAGTGAACATTATAAACATCAGATATTATATAGACCAACATACCACCGCTAATATGAACATAATAAATATTTTCATCGTTACGACTAACACACGCGTTTAAAATAAATCCATAACTAAAAATACAAAAACCAAATAAATGCCGAAGTTCTACTATCGATTTATGGCTACTTTGGACACTCCGATGGGAATAGTGAACTCTAAAAATGTTGAACAGGATGCACTAGACGCTGTTTATATAATACCACGATAAATAAGTACTCTTTGAAAAGTGTGCTAGTCTCGTACAGATATGTTGATCAGTTCCAGATGCAATTAAATACCGATTATTAGTTCGAACAGTTTATTCACACGAAAAGAGAAACTTTAACTAACCGTTTCAGTATGAGTTCCTGGAAAATGCCTATTCGATGAGCTTCCTTTGCTTCCGGATGACGAGCAAGTTGATCACGTAAACATGCAGAATTAATCTTGATATAAATAGGACCTAAAATATAATAAATCAATGATATAAAAACGAAACATTTTCTTTGCAATCGAATAACTCAACACAAATCATAATTGATGTAACCGAGGATATTGAACGCGATATATCTGACGAATAATGGCATACATATAATCTAGTTTATATTGCTAAGAACAAGTTCATATGGTAATAGAATCATCAATGCGCCTATTACCCAAGACCAAAGTCATTGGATAGAAAAAATGGAATATTTGTTTTCGGACATTTTCATACAAAATTATGCATTATAAAACTTCAGTGCGGATATCTCGATTTAATTCTAAATTATTGAAACATTCGCCTTAATGAAAACTAGGCATCAATATGTAGTCTCATCATTGATTTCAACTGATATGCTCTCGTGTGTAACTGAAAGTAGTCGGTGATTCGCATATAATCTTATTTTCGAAGCACACTTAAACATTTTATCGTTAATCATCGTTTTCTAATTTTCCTGTAGAAAATCGTGATATATTGAGGATTAACTTCTACATTAGAAAATAGAAAACATTTCGCTGGTCAATAGCGACAAGATAATTTGTTTGTTAACGCCTCTAGCCATATTGTATTCAAAAGAAATATTTTTTCTGAGATGACTTTCATATATTGACTATCGAAGATCTTAGTCAAAAGTATTCTGATAACACAGTTTTCATCTAATTCACGAAGTAGTTATCTATTTCCTTTACATTAACATGAAGTCTTTTATTTTCTCTTGTTTTCATTTTACCTCTGAGTGCATCGAGTTCCGAAAATGGATCACATGGGATCGGTACAAGATGAAATGCCACTTGATTCGTTCCGAGTATTGTTCCTGTACGTTGTGACCATTGTGTAATTAAATCTCCAAGTATACATGATGTTGCAACAAGCCAACGTATTTCAAGTTCAAACAAACAATGTGGATTGTAGAACGAATGATAATGGGCTGTGGCCCATTCGCGTCTATCTGATATATGTTTAGGATCTACATCAACGTTACAATCACGTTTGAGGACAATCGATGGCGTTTGTGGTTTACTATTTTTCATATTTGATAGAGAAGATAAATTAATTCCATTTGATGGAGATCCTTGTTTTCGAGGTTTGACTTGTGGAGTATCGATTAATTTTGGTAGTAGACGCATGGGTTTACATTCGCCAAAGCCTAAATAGTCCATAGATGGAATGTATGATTGCGTTTGATGAAATTCAACTTCAGCATAATCATTTGCATCAAGACGAACTAGAAATTAAAACGAAATTTCATCAGCAAAAGAAATTTAAATCTCCGGAAATACTTACAATTTTTGGTTTTTTCTGTTACAATATAGTAAAGGAAAAATCCAAAACGAAAACTATTTTCTGTATGCGTACAATGCCGAATATATTGATTAGTAAATAAATACTGTTACGAAAAAAGCAAAGCTTATAATTTTCTAGAGAAATGCCGTTTTTTCTTACCTCAAATAAACTCAAAGCTGTTTTTTCATCTTCTATAACATCACCGTGCTCAATAGACCACCAAATAGCTTCAATTCCAATAAATGTATATTCCGGTAGAACGGAATCTTTTACAAATAATAAACCTTGTTGTTCATCTTGAAACAAATTAAATAGATCATTTATTGCACTTAAATCACCAGACATGATATTTGCTAATTGAAACATTTGAATTGGAATTCTAAAATATGATAGATTTGCAAAATTAGCAGAACAAAAGAACCAATATCTTACAAATTTTTTCCTTGTCGCTTCGTAGGGTCCGTACGTTTTTTACCTGTTTTAGGGTTAAGAGGCTAAAGAGAATTTCGAGAGCGTCGAAAGAAGAATAGTCTGAAGTATCGTCTTACTCGGCGTATGCATTCAGTTGATCCAATAGACGAACGTGAAAGTTTATTAAGCATAAATAAAAATCGAACAAAATGTTCAACATAAAGAAAAAAATCTTCGTGTGACATTTCTTTGCGACTATCACATTTTGTTTGGCCGGATTCAATATTTTTTATAGTGTAATCTTTCGACACAGGCATAAGAACAAGACGTGTATGCCAATATTTTACTAACTAAACATAACACGATGCATATATGAACATATGTCGATTAAAATCATTGTATAGTACATACATCTGACAATTTGTGATCACCGGTTCCATGATTTCCGACAACATTATCTACTAAATTCCATGAAAATGATTCTAAACTTTCAAGTTGTAATTCATAACTCGCAGGATCGAAATCCGATGAATCAGGACATTGAAAGCGATATTTATATTGAACAGATTTTGGTAGAAAAACATTTCTTAAAATAAATAAATAAATAAATAAATAAATAAAGGATCTAATTTGAAAACGAAACTAACTGTGGTTTATGTTGTTGAACATAAATAACAACAGTATCTTGAGATTGATTTTCTTCTGTAACAAGACTTAATGTATGATAAATTCTACCGATGCTGAGTAAACGATTATATTCTGTTTCTTTATAGCCAGCACGTCGAATTGATTCATTCATTTTTTGATGAATATGACCAGGAATTTCAACAATCATTTGAAAACCCTATCGTTTATTCGATATTAAAAAGCAAAGTTGATATAAAAATAAGTCTTACTTGTGATAATCGTTGATCAATTAATTCATCAAATGTAATTCTTTGACGTTCCATATTATCGCTACTAAAAAGTTATAAATCGGAAAATAATTAAATTTTTCAAGAATAAAATCCTACCAAAGTATTTTATCACTGTTCAAATTTCCATTTGGTATGATTTTTTTCTTTCTGTCAACTTCAATATGAGGTAGTAAAGCATGAATAAGCGTATAAGCATTATCTGTAAAATCACGTTGTAAGTCTTCAGCCGACGGTACAACATCGAATGTTGTCGGAAGAGTCGCTGGTATAGTCAAAGATTTCCAATCAATACCAGTTATCATTGATGCACTCCATGGTTCAACACCGGTTGGTCCCCAAATGATTGTTGCTTGTTTTTCTCCTATTCGGTTTCTAGTTTAAAAGCAAAACAAAAGAAAAATCATTGACTAACTTTTAGGATTGGTTGATTTCGTAGAAACATCACTGCTGGATTTTGTTCTAGTCGAACCACTGACGCTGGATCGAGCATCATCGTTACCACTATCTTTCCGTTCAGATGCAGTACGTTGAATTTCGTAATTGTATGCGCTAAGAATATTAAAGGAAACAAGAAGGATTGACGTCAAAATGCAAGTAAACAAAATAGTTTTTCTCTTAACAGGCATAGCGTGCTTAATTCGAGAAAATATTTGACTATTTCTATAGCAATTTCAAGTTCTCTTCTGAACTTGTTTTCAATTCATCATAAAATGATTCTTGCTCCCTAACAATGCTCTGCAAAGAACCTAGTCTTTTCTCCTATTGTACTCGATTCTACGTGAACACAGAATTCATATATTCCCGTTTCAATTTAGTTTCATCCTTATATTTACCGTTTAGGTCTTAAAGATAAATCACTCGACATTTTTACAAGATGTTTTGGTCGTTTTGATACTAGACCATCGGTAACTTTTTTCGATGTACCGGGAAGCAACATATGAGCACATTTAGAAATGTGAGTAGACATTGCTTCGTGTGTTGCACCTTCTGTATGACGTAAATGATGAAAGTGCCATGGTAAATTATTTGGACCTATAAATAATTAAATTAGTATTATTCGACAATGATCAATATCGTAGCTTTACCGATAGGAAATGTATGCGCCCATCGACGCCGTCCTGGTGCCATGGGTATTCGAATACTAGCTGGTGCATATGGATTTATTAATGCTTTGGGTCGTGCTTGAATACGAGCAAATATATTTGATTGTAAAAAATATGTCTCAGCACTTCGCGCCATGCGGTTGAAACTTTGAGAATTACAAAATAAAAGTTGGAATGACGAATTCAATGTATTTTGATATTGAAAATTATTTATGAAACTCGATGATGCTCCTGCATGTGATGTTGAAAGAGATAGATCATCTTTAATATTTGCATTATAAGGTCGGGGTGTGCCATAAAATTCAGGCATGATATGATTATTATTTTTTACAATTGACAATCCATTTTTTTCGTCAAAGGAATCTTCTTCTTCGATTGATTGTCCACCTGAACAGAAGAAGAAAGGTTTTTATTTCTATATCAATATGCTTAAAAAAATAACATGAGAGATAGCAATTAGAATTCAGCTATAGAGGGTTAATTGACAGCTTGTGCAGAAATAAGTTCTTCGTTTGTGATCATTAAATCTAATAAAAGATTGTATTAAACGAATTCTTTCAATATAATTCAAAGTTTAAAAGTTCTGTGAGACTTGATCATTTGTCCTCAACAGAGATGCGTGGGACGCCGTTTTGCTGGTCCCTGTTCTAATGATTGTTGGTGCCTATTTGCATAGAAATTTTGCAGAATTTCTTTGATACATATTTCTTTACTACGTCTGTAACTCACGTATACTTCTTCTAAACTCCGCGGAGTACGAAAGTATTGCTTCCTTTCTTTTGACGTGACCACATTTTTTTTATCGAGACCGAAACTGATTTTGCACAACTTCAGTCCTCGATGAGCTACAAAAATATGTTAGATCATCTTACATGTAGGACCCATCGTAATATTTCGTCGCCGTGCTTTTCGGTTTTCAGTTTTGACTAATTTATCTGCATGGCTATCTTTTGTTGATCTATAAATTAAAACTAAATCAATCATTGTGTTTTTTTTTTCGTATAATATTTACAATTTATTGTGTGATCGAAATACTTTTTCATCGTATTCTTCCATTGACATGTGTAAAGGTTTTGAGAATGCATCTTCCTCGATCGAATTCATAACATTTTTAGCATCTATAAAATTCCGCAATAGAAACAAGAAGCAATAAAAAATGAATACTCTACCTAACATTTCATGTTTTATGCGAGTTTTATCGAATTGTAAACGTGGAATATAACTTGGAAAACACGATGGTGCAGTTGAACGATGATAGTAACTAAAATTTCGAAAGCGAATAAACCAATTATATTGTAAAAGTATGAAGGCGAAAAAACCTTAAATTCATCCAATGTGCTATTTGATAATCATCAGCTATATTTGGATCTTCTTTAAAAAATTTAAAAAGTGGTACAGCAAATAAAGGCTGTTCTCCTAAGCACACAAGATCACTTCCGATTCCATTATCTAATACACGTTGCTTAGTCATATTGGTTAATTCACGTTCAACTTCAAATACACCAGTACCGGGCGTTATAACCAAGGACATTTGTCCAAGACGATCAAATGGTTGATCGATAAAATGACGTTCAAATACTAAAGAGAAATTGCAAAAAGACTTTTTTCTAAAAAAACATTTTTTATACAAACCACTCGATGATAAATTCAATGTTTCAAGAAAATTGCCATCAGCTGCTCCTGATATGAAACTATGAGGCAATTTATCCGCCTCATTTTTAGGTAACTGCTTTTTATGATAAGTCAGAAGCTCTTCTTTGTAATTAATAAGCACTTTTTTTATGGTTGCTAAACGAGGTGACCAATCATCATAACGTTCATTTTGATAGATAACACTGAAATAATCAAATCGAAATTAATACTAACAAGCAATTTGACTTTATATCATCTAGCAATTTCTTATATTCAAATTTTCTGCACGATAATTATTTTATCAGCTATTCGTCCCTTCTAATTTTCAACAAACTTTTATCAATCATTTTTCTGATGGTAAACGGCATAGTGAGCATAACTTTAGCGAGTCGTACATTACGGAATGTTGTTCGAATATTATAGATAACTTCTAGCTTCATCAAAATACAAACAGCAGAAGAATGTATATATTCAAAAAACAATCAATACTACTAAGTCTTATAATTTCATCGAACAATCAGTAGTACTCGTTGAAGTATGACTATTGACTTCAACGAAACTAGTGAATAAAGACTACGTTAAATTTCAGTAGAAAACAAACAGCATTCATTTAGTGCTTATAAATAGCGAGTTCGAGAACACTCCGCGGGGCAGAAACGAAAAATGTTTTCATCATGTAAGTTGTACACGTGCGCTAGAGTAGCATAACGTGGCCACATGCGGAGAAAAGCAAATCTAAGGGTCACGGGAACACTACGTGATAGTTAAAAATGAGAAAAAAGATTGGCTCATTCTTTCTTAACGAGAAATTATAGAAATATGATTTGTTTCTGTTCATATCTAATCTATCGGTTCTCTTTCGATTGTTCAATATAGAGACTATTAAATTGTTTTTAGAAAGCGTTTTACCGATAGAAATCTTCGTAAAATCTTCCTCGATAATCTTTATTAATATGGTGACGTAAACTTTGTGGAAAATCTTCCAATGATTTTGCATCATAGAAAACTCTTGAAAATAAAGTCATTGTTACATCATGTTGACAACTCATCAACTGAAAGAAATAAACGATTCGATTTAATTATTCTCATATGCTTATTTTATTCTCATACCTTCCACCGAGTAAATAAATCAGCAAGAAAGCCATCAACAGCTTTCTCATAAAAAGTATCACCGTGATGATCGAAATTCCACATTTCTTTGGACATTTGTAAAAATATTGTACAACAAGCACTCAATGAACGAAAAACAATCTAATAGATATTCAAAATGCAAATCATATTTTAAGATGAGATTTAAAAAAAACAATTTCACTTTTGTATTCTTTGATAAATAGCCAGACGAGACGCGGTATGGTGCTTTGTCTATCCATAGGCCGTAAACCGTAGCACTATATGAAATTTTTCAAAAATTAATTTAATTCAAAGAAAAAACAAATTTACCGCATGCCGAACATATCAAGTGGCTTTTTCAAGTAGACATTTGTATTAATCTTTAGTGTGTATGAAAATAAATTGAGAAAAAATATTTTAATCAACAAAAATGACTTACTAGTTTACGAGAAAACCGCCACATATCACCGCGACTTAGATATTGTTCTTTAACTTGCAATTCGACCAGATACAAAGCAAATTTCTAGACGATCAAATTTATTATTATGCAAAAATCAATTCAATTGAACGGAACTTCATTCTCCATTTAGTGTGTTTTATTTGAAATATTATTCGTACATAAATCTCATCATAATTAGAATGTTCAGTGTTTGCCCTCAAAATAATATCTTTTTCTTGAGATATCACCAGCACGATGCACGTTGCTGACATGGGCTTGTCACTTGTGTTATCTAATCACTTGTTGATTATTCAGTATCTCAAGAATAATGCGTCTCTTTTTTTGACCTAAAAGTTTTCGGATACTCTAGGAATCGTAGAACATCTATTGTTTGCATTCTCGATATGGAAATATCATGGCTAATTTCTCGTTGAATATCTGGACTAAATGTCGAAAACGAAAACAAAATCAGTCATAACTGTTGGTTGGTAATACGTGGATCCTAATGCGCTTAGAACTTCCTTAGCGCCATTGAGTCCTACTCAAAACGAAAAGGTTTTATCATTATCAAATATTGTTTTCTAATGAATTTGAAATTCTTAATATGTTATGTGTACATTATAAAATCGGAGGATTTTGCAGATAGAAGTCTGATACAACTATTGGGAACAAAATTCAGATTTTACTAATATACGTTCAAAGTATCGAGTAATTCTATATGAAAAAATAAGACGAAATTAACTAACCTCTTTGTTTGCTACTTGTTGCATTGTATGAAGATTTCTCATAAAAGTTGTCACAGAAAAAGTTCGCTTAATTGCTTCATCGATAAAAATTTCTATTGAAGAAAAAAAACACAATATTATCTTAATGAAAATTCGTATTTGTTTTTCCTAATACCTGGAGGGGCTGCTGCAGCAACGCGCTCTTCATCCACTTGCAAAACAAGTTTTTGTGTGCCCTCTTCATTTAAATTAATGACAAATAGATCACCTTTGTGTAAATTAGTTTTACTAGTAACAAGTGTTGGTGCACTTGCATCTAAACACGAGAAAATAAAATATCAACAATCATAATTTTAGTTTAGAATTAAACAACGAACTTTGTCCGCGCCCATAAAAGCTTAATCGACATTTAAATCTAAATTTTAACCGTATGAGAGTAATTATTGACGTTTTTCTCGTATACATACGGCTCTCCGGCAAAGATAGACGCTTCGGACGTTTCATCTGCACTTGTTTCAGTAGCTGCTATCATTTCATGTGCGACGAAAAGTATATATATTATAACTATGAATGGCAAATATAGTTTTCATGATAAGAATTAAAAAGACACTAGCAGCTGTTTTTCTCTGGTTAATCGGTTAATTTGTCAAACTACAGAACCAATCCAATACAAAAGAACGTATTTTTATGTACTGGTGACCTCTTACGATGAATAGTTTATAATAGGAACTTCGTGTACGCTATGTAACTTTACTACGATATATATATATATATATAGGTCGTTTTTCTCTCTGGGTACTTCTTTTATTCTCTTTCGATGTGTTCGATGAATGTATTTTATCGATGAATTTTACACTTATTTTTATAGACAAACATGACTAGGCAACATAGATGTCGGAAAAGTTAAAATTTCTTACTTGATGGATACATTTATTACTGATAAAGAAAATAGTCTCTTACAATCTAAGAGAATAATAATACTTTAATCCACTCTTCTCCGACGACTCCCCAGGGATTTGCCTGGACGAATTGATGAGATATCTAAATAAAAACAACTCTTTCATTTTTTTTAAACTTAAAAAATTTAAGAAGAATTTATAAGTAATTAGATATTTCGTTCATTTTCCCCAGACAACTCCCTGGGGATTCTTCTAGGAAGAGTTGACCAGGTAGCCATTTTAAACATAAATATCTTCATTTTCCCAAATCTATCAATAACAATTCATGTAAACCTTCTAAAATTACAATTATACGTACATCTGTACTAGAAAAAGAAAACAAATGTTAGCTGTAGATTCATCCTTCCATGAAGCAAAGGCTATAAAAAGCAACTCAAATTTATTTTACTGTCATACAAAAGACATCAACTTAATTAGTACAATGGTCTCTGATTAAATCATAAACCAAACTTGAACATTTGTTTTCTGATGTCTAGTTGTAGTTTTTTTTTCTTTCAGGTCAACTTGTTCTTCACAAGATTTTTAAATATACATCTAAAACTAAAAGTTAAAAAACGAATTTTCTTTGACGCCAGTAAAATGAAGTGTTCTTACTTTTAATAGCCTTTATAACGATTTTTGATCATCTAATAAAGTCCATTTAGTTATATAGTACGTAGTTGATGTGTATGAATACGAAAAAGCAAACTAATGGCTTTTTAAGTATTCGAAACAAGTCGAGTAGTACATACTAATGCGGAAGAAGCTCGGCATACATTTATTGATAATTCTATTGATATAGATAATATGTTTAATTTAATAATTTAAATAAAAAAGAAAGCGAATAGTAAACAAAACAAATTTCAAGTTCATTCAAAGTAAATATTGGAGCGCTTATTTTTCCATTCATAACAAAATAATTGTAATAAATCATAAATATTAATCTATCGTTTCAACGGTAAAAATAACGCGCAGAATCATAAAAATGCATTCATAAACAAAACAAAAGAGGATTATCATCGTTTTTACAACGATGAGATAATATTCAAATATGTAACTAAATGTTTTCCATTAGACAATATTTTACGAAATAAAGCAATCGTTAGTATTCAATATGAGAAATATTGGTTGTCAATCGAGGTTAGTAATTCGCTCGTCCTTTACTTTATCTGAAATTGCAGATCGAGATTCTATTTCAATCATCTATTATTTAGGTCTCTTTCTAGTCTAGTTGTGATTGATCAAGTTAATCGGATATTCCTGTCTATGACGTCTATACTTTCTCATTTTAAGAGTTGATCCTCGACGAGTTAATAGGAACCTATGAACTAACAACCGATGTGATTTACCAGTGACCATTATTGAGAATCACTTGTCGACATTACCAGTCAGAAATCAAATGTGACAACATTGTAAACGATTTAATCTCTTTTATATATTAAATAAAAATATGAGTGATGCTAGAATGGAATCGCATCGGAAGTAAACCGAATAAAACGTAAGTAGCAACAAATATTCTCATGCCATGAAAACCGTTCTATTGTACTAATGCTTAATTCACAGACATACTATATTTCATTATAAAACAACGTGTTAATCCATTGCGATTAGCAAAGTGTTTAACTCATAGAAAATCAAATGAATTGTTAAGACATGTGCTGTTTTATAATAGATACTTCAAAATAATATCTCTAAAGTAAGCTAATATTTTGAATACAATAAATCATTAAATAGGAAATAATTTAGTGAGAGTGAGTCAAGCAGCAATCAGTATGCTGCTCTCGTTCATTAAGAAATAGTCGCGTGATCGATGATAAAAAGTGCATCGTTCTTTATTTTAATTCGTGTTGCAAAAACGTTTTTCTTCGGAAACTTTTCAACGTTTAGCATCTTTATCACGACAATTTTCCACGCGAAAAAAAGAAGATTCTTAATTTAACCATCGATTGCATCGAACTAGATATGCAATCAATTGCGTAATGATTCTATTCAGTTCATTTCGTTTTAATGTGTCTCACGGTCACCCAGTTTTTCACGTTGATAAAATGTGAATAAAAACAATCGGCTTACAGTCTTCTCCGCAACAACATTTCTTACAGAAAACGCAATACGATTTACGTGCTATCTTTCGTACTACTAATTCTTATCAATATTTGTGCAATATGACGAAGAAAACAATGCTTCTTGTAGTTGATCAATTTGAAGCGAAAATTATTTTGTTCGCAAAAAATAAACTCTTTCAACTAGTAGACTCCTGTTTTGTCCTTCACGGTGCTGCACAATTCGAATAATATTATGTCTCTTTTTTTCTGTGATAAATAATTTATTTATACAAATTAATCCCATATTGTATTCTGTACTCATCATTTCCTTTGCAATTTTAGATGTAGATACGTGTCTATGGAGAATCAAAAGCTAGCATCACTGAATTAAATTATTAGTATTTTTCTTCAAGAAACAGTTGTCTTATGTAGTCATCAATACAAATAATCATTGGCTTTTCACATGTATTTTATGTCTCTATATTAGAACTCTCTATCAACATGAATTCTATCATTTGCTATTTCTAGTTCGGGTTGAATTAACAATATCTATTTACCATTTTTTTTTATCTCTCATCATCAACTTCTTTGACGAATAACAATGAACCAAAAAACAAAAATGCAGATGAACTTTTCGAAGGAAAAATTAATTTAATTACGAGCCGACACAATGCACATCGAATATCATAATCCATACATTTCCGACAGTTAGTCAATATAATATCGAGAAAAATTTCTATTAGTAAAACTTCACTTGCAACAGCGTTTGATTTAGTATAGAGCTTGTCCGGCTAACTCTGCTACCGGACAGTGAGTGTGTTACTATTTTTACGTATTTTACTTTTCTCATTACTTTTGAACAGTTTACCAGAGAAACACGGGCAACATCTTATTTTGTTCACTAAAATGCGCTCTACAAAGTGTACTCTTCATTTTTCTGGTCTAAAATATTCTTTCACCTGTCTTATGGAAAAATACAAAATGTACTTAATATGTTTAAACTATTTTTTGTAAGACAAGTGAAAGAATATTTTAGACCGGAAAACTATGTAGAGAACATTTTAGTGAACAAAATAAGATGTTGTCCGCGTTTCTCTGGTAAACTGTTCAAAAGTAATGAGAAAAGTAAAATGCATAAAAATAGTAACGCACTCACTTTCCGGTAGCAGAGTTAGCCGGACAAGCTCGATACAGAGAACGGTATGTACCTAATATCTGATGCAGATCTAACAGAATTCTTGATCATAATGATAGTGTTCATACATTAATCAACTATGTGTCAATAAGCAAATTCTTACGAAGTTTTCTATTATTACCAAGTGATCACTATGCAAAGTAACGACAAATAGTTGTCAGACACATCATAATGCCAATTATTCTCGTCTTATTCGTCTATTGACATTAGCTGTACGTATATCTGTCGCTAGTATCTCCGATCATGTATATATATATATATATATGTATACAATAGTTGAATCAGAAACTGGAATCTAGATCTAATATAAGCATTTACATTTATTATCAGATTATTAGAATTTCTAACACAGCATAATCAACTTCATCGCATCTTAGTCTACTTGTCGAGCCTGCAAATATTTATATTCAATTGATAAAGAGCGAACAAAAAAAGAGATTCTTGTTCAAAGCGTCTTCTCGTGTGTATTGCCAACATAGTGATAGTGTTAATGACGAGCACGGCATAGAGCTATTTTTTCGATTTCTATGACATATTCATGCAATCTGTAAACAAGTAAAATTATCAGAACAATTTGTTTGATTATGGAGTTTTAAGGGAAACCACAATCTGATAGGCAACAGTCTGTGTTTTGTCGTAAGCATATCTATGCGCTTAACAAGTCTGACAATTAAGAGTGGAGAACATATATATCTATATAAATAATGATCATCAATGATCCGAGAAAAATCTATTCGCATATAGATACACGGTCTATCTCATGATGATCAATTATGAGTAATATCTCACTCTACTACACCCGTTGAATCGCTAATTTCACGCTCAATTTAACAATAGAATCAGCTCGATAACTGCCATTGCAGTAACACTATTTACGAAATAGATTGGATAGATATAACTATAGAAGAAGATTACACAACCATAGACGAACAATAAGCAACAATTTTTATTCCATTTCTAGATTGGTGTATTGAGAAATGCAAAACGTAAAAAGTTATTTTTCGTCATGGAAAACATTTTGGAAATCTTCGACGAATTCCTACCAAACACGTACATTATCACTGGCGCCATCAACTATTAATTTTACTAATTCAAGTTTAGGCGATTTAAAAGATTCAACTATTGATGAAAAATTAATGATTGATATATCGACAAAATTAATGAATAGTACTTCTCCACCTAAATTACAAATATGTGCACATAATAAGCAATGGTTTGCATTGAATAATAGTCATTTACTTGTTTATCGTCAATTAGAACGTATTGGTCTCTGTGATACTGTTGGTAAGTGACAAAATACTCAATAAAAAACGAAATAATCTATTTGAATTTTCTATTCATCTAGTTTGCGATGTCATTCGAAGTGAAGATATACCACTAGGTATTCGAGAATCACTTGTACCTGTGGTAAAGCGTCAACAAAAGCCTGATAGTTGTTGTCAAAATTCACGAGAACACATGGAAGATCAAAATGTGCTTATGGATGACGAAGGTCAGTTCATAGTTTTAAAAGGAAGTAGATTTCAATTGCATTTGCTTTTTAAACTAATATATTCTCAAGGTCAAGATGAAATTATGTATTTTTCTGATGTTCAAGCTGATTCATGTGGTTGTTTAGAAGGCGAAGATCAATGCGATAGCAGTAATATAACATATGGTGATAGTGATCGAGACGGAGATTCCGATGATGAACAAACAAGTAAAATATTCAATTAGTTTATTTCAATTTGTCTCTGTTTTTATTAGGCTGGCCAACAAAAACATTTTCTCTAACGAGACTTAGTACGATTGGTAATAGTCGATTCGATGATATTGACTTAGATGACGATGGCACTGAAGATCATCAAAAGGAAATGCAAAGCCTTTTGTAAATCATGTTTTTCTATTATTTATTTCTTGACACAGAATTATTTTAATAAACGTTGGCGGAACACGAAACGAACAGAAAACATACAAATAAAAATTGACGCTAAAAGTGATCAAATAATGAAATACGAGAAAAAACAAATATTATCACAGCGAAGAAGAGCTAGTTCGCCAAGAGACAAAACAAAGAAAAGCAATTGAAATACGGAGATGAAAGTATATTGAAATAAATTTCATTTATTTTTATAGGCATCACTTCTTCGTTGGTACAATATTTTGTTGGAATGTAGACGAAAAGGAAAACTGAAATAGAGATTCATTGAATTTGAAAACGAATAAAAAAAATTGGTCAGCTTAGTTAATAATATTTTTAATTGTCACTTGTCGATTGATATCATTTGTATTTTCTGACACGGCTGTATCGTACATACGGACGGCAAGCACAACCAGCCATGAACATAACACATAATATTAAAAGAATAACAGAGAACAGATAGAAACTGTTATTAGATTTTCGAATTTCATTTGCCAATTCAACGACACCGTTCACATTGGGTACCTAAAATATTCAATGAAATTAGCAGTGCATCAGCAGGTGATAGAGCTATTAGAATTTATTTCTCGTTTTTTTATACCCATAGAACGTGCATCCCTGTAAGAGATCAATTTGAAGTACTGTGCGTTTCTTACGTTAGAAATGAAAGAGAACTTTATAGAGAATTCTAGTTGAACAAGCTATAAAATTGTGAACAGCCCTCTTTGTTGTTTCGCACTGGGTCCTGATTCAGATGGGGTTCACAATTCAAAAATTTTGAATTTGTCAAACTCTAGCAGTGAAAACACGTGGGCGCGCTCATCATTCAGAAATAATTCGGAGAAGTGTTCCTTATTCTCGAATTTCGAATAGGATATTTTACTGGATTCGAGCCCGGATACAAAAATCTTGATCCGACTGGCTCTAGCGCAGACCCTCTTAGTTCTGTAGTGTGTCAAGAAAATTAAATGGCTATGAAAAATATTTTTTCTTTCATTTCTCAACTGATAAACACTCATGCTATTCGTTAAGTTATAATTTTCAAAAACTTACAGATTTCCATAATTCGCGTCGTTTTTCTAACACACTCTGGCATTGACTTGTTACTGATTTACCCATACTTAATAAGCATTGTAATTGTTTTCCACTTCCTGAAAAGCAAAATTCAATGAATAATTCATCGCATAGATTTTATTCATTTTACCTATCGGAATATCATTACAATATTTCAAGACGTCAGCTTGACATGCAAATGATAATGCGCGATCGACATGTATATCAGCTTGACCTTCTCGTATAATACGTTTAACTTGTTCTTTGCAATCGTCATCTTCAAGTTTACCCTGTTGATAAAGTATTTTCAAGCAATCTTCTTGATCCATACCAACACATTGACCGTTAATGTTAAGTGATTTTCGGCAACTTTGATAAAGTCTAATATCAAGTTTAATGTCAAGTTTCGATGTTTGTATAACATCGATTAATTCTGAAACACATGGCGATTCTAATGTAATTGTTGTATCGGCATATTTTGAACGTAAGCATTGTATGATTCGACCACCCATTTCACGATCCTTTACGTCACCATTTTCATCGGTATTCGGACTCGGATTCGGATCATCCTTTTTATCGGTATCTTTATCTAGAACAATAGTTCAAATTAAAATAAAAACAAAATGACTATGAATTTACCATCGTTGTCTCCATCATCCTCATCGGAATCTTTGTCGTCACTATCTTGATCAATGATTTCTGATTGGCAAAATTTACCAATATCACGTTGGCAATTTTCGATTAAACCTTTATTGAAACGAGCATCTAAATGGAAGGAAAAATATTTTTTTCTAAAAACACTAATTCAAAGATGAATTATAAAATTCTTGAAACACTTCGCTATGAAAGACCGCAGTCATTCAAAGTAAAATCCCAATAATATTTGTTAGATTAAATTTTCACTTATTCATAACTTTCATTCTAATCGAAATTATAGGTTTCTATTATATCATATGCGTTCTCATGTTGCAATATTGTTGATCGCTAAAATTTTCAAATATTTATCTCAAATCTCTTAATACTTAACAAAGAATAAGAACTCATTGGCTTATTACTCGAACTACAAATTCTATACTTTTTTTTTTCGAAAGAAAAATTGGCAGAAATAACTTGAAGTATCTGTTGGATCGATCATTTTCAGATTCGCACTCTACCGAATCTCTAGCTACATCATTATAAGACTTTTAGGGAATTCGAGATGTGTGCATTTTCAGATCAAAAAGTAATTACGTGTCATCGGATATCTCTCGTGAACTTTTGCTCTTACCGCTATTAAGAACCATTAAACGATGATATAAAATTCGTCGACAGACATTAGGCATGGCATCTTGATTAATATTATGTCGTAAACATGATAAAATATTTTGTTTCTTTTCATTTGAACAATATTTCTATTGAAGAATTTTTATTATAAATTACTCTTAATTCTATTAAAAATCATCTTACTTGAATCACTGTTGCACATTTTGACATAAGACTATAATCATTCTCAGGTAAAATAACATCAAGTTTTTCACGTTTTCGTAATCGAGCAAAACATGGTGCTGATACTTTATTATGATTTTCTTTTAGACAATCGAGAATCTAATAATAAAATTTTCATAGGTCGATAAGAATTTTATTTTGCAAGGAAAACTTACCTGAGCATTTCCTGGTGTACGATCAGCGCAGAATCGGTTAATATCATATCGACATGCTTTCGCTAATGATGGATCGAAATCAATACTTTCACTCTAAATAGAATTTCAAGTCTTTTGAATAATTAAAAATATAAAACAAACTCGTTGAAGAAGTTCAAATCTAAGTTCATCACGGCAGGATTCTCTAATAGCATTTGTTTTTTTCAATACGTCTCGTAACATTAAATCAGCAAGACATTGAATAACACCAGCTCTAAAATACGAAAACAACGGATGACAAATCAAAAGAAAAATCGAATGATTTACTTTGTTTTCTTTCCTGTACAATGTTCATTCACTTCAGCGTTGCATTTGGTTCGGAATTGTTGACTTAAAAATGCTTCATCTTTCATACTTGTCTATTAATGAAACAAATCAAGTATTGATTTTTATTCTGTTTTTATTCTACATACAATTTGATGATGATCAATACCCGCTTTACAGCGAAAATCCATTTTTTGTTCATGTTTATGTTTAATTAAACAACGTATTAAATCGTTTTCATGTCCATTTTCAATATTCTAGAGAGAAAAAAAAGAATTTTATTCATCGTAAAGAAAAACACACAAGTTTTCCCGTTGGATTTACCGCACAGAAGGTTTGCATCATTGGTTCACATGCTTTCATTAAAAGAAAGTCAAGAGTAGGATCAGACATTGTCATTTGTGTATAATTTCGAACAGCGGCTTTACATTGCTCTTCAAGTTTATTATATTTCTTTTGTAAACATTTGAATTCCTACAACAAACAATGAATGAAATCATGATGCAGAGAAAAATTGTTTGGAATCGCAACTATTTTCCTATTGTAAAGTCTTGTGACAAGATTCAAGAACTAATGTAGAATCAACATGAAACTATCATTCGGAGTATATTTTGAAGAATCATGATCTCATATATTGTGCAAGAGTTAATTTCTGAATACAAATAAGAACGTTACAACTATTTTAATGCTCATCATTTTGCACGAACAACAATAATCACACCAGACTCTCTGGACATGTATCCTCATTTTTCTGCAACATGTAGGATTTATCTCTTACTTCGCCTTTCACTTCTGGATTTTTGCAAGTTGCCAAATCTGTCAAGCAATTGTCTTCGATTTCAGGCATTAAACCGATAGCTTGTGTTCGAATATGCATAATTCGTTTTAATTCACCTTGACATTCTCGGTCAAGCTAAATGAAAAGAAAGACGAGGTAAAATAATAGAAAAGTTATTTTCCCCAAATACATTTTTTCGGTGTTGATATAGACATCCTAAATACATTCCAACTTGAACATCATTTAATTCTTTATTCATCGACCAGTCTTCTGGAAGTTGGCAAAATGTTTTAAGATTTGTTTGGCATGTTCGCATTAATCTTGGTGTTAATCTAAGTCAAATAATAATAATAATAATAAAAATCAGCATCTATTGTTTTTTTCTCATTACCTCCAATCTCGTGCCATGAAATAAGCAACTTCCATAAGACGATCTTCGCATTCTTCTGTCATGCGTGCATTTTTCAAATTGTCCAATAGGCATAAAACAACATTGGAATTTCCAGCTTTCATTCTTGGACACAATGTATCAATGACAGGCCGACACGCTGTTTCGAGTAATGGATCAGCACGTATATCATTGCCCGGATCAACTGCACGTACCAATGCATTAATAACCGTTAAACATCGACTACTAAAACTTCTTTCTTTTCGTGCAGCACCCAATAAACAATGAATCATTTTGCCACCGCGTTGGCCAATTGAACCGCTAGCGCCTTGCTGAAACAATGATGGACAATGTTGAATCATTTCAGTTTTACATTCCGATACGATTTCAGGTGAAAGAGCATAGTCAGACATTAACATGCGACGATGAACAAGCATTTCGCGCCGACATTCATCTTGAATATGGTGACCTAAAATATATAATTTGTATGAGAAAGTTAGAAAAATAGTTATTCAAGAAATGCATCGTTAATCTTTTACCTTTTTTCAATGTATCTTCAAGACATAAAAGTAATTTGACCAATGATGATCGTTGATCACCTTCTACAGCATCAACGTTACATTTGTGTTGAATCATTTCACCCTTACATGCTGAACAATAAAAGAAAAACATTGCCTTGTTGTTGTCTCTTCTATGCAGAATGTTTGAATTTTACCTCGAATTAATGGAGCATCAAACTTCACGTCTGCAACTACTAATGATTGTCGTCGATGAACTTCTTTGCGACACTGCAATAAATAATCGAAAAATTTCAGTTTATTCAGTTAAATATTAAGTCTAGTACTATTTTTAGAATGATATCTCTCGCCTTAAACTTTTTGATCTGAGTTTAATTAAAATCGATATGACTACGACGTACGTATGTCAGAAAAAAAATCTATTGTGAGAAAATATTGAATCTTCTATGAAATTTTAGGGACGATATTAGACTACATATCTACACTCGCAACAAGAAAATTCCATTCCGATCATATAAACAGTTTGCAGTACGATGAGTAAAATTTTTCGTTAGGGAAACGAATTTTCTAACTCAAAATAAATTTATTTTGGAATAATGATCTGTCCTAGAGTTAATTTTGTGTACTCAAAAAGTGAGCACACTCTAGATTCGGTCAGTGTGTCCGGCCGTTAACACGATAACTCTTGAAAGTCTCATCCAATCGTCTTGAAATTTTGTACGCAGAATGATCTCATCAATATCTCAGTCGAGTTCGAAGATGAGAAAGATCCGTCAAGAAATGACTGAGTTAACGAAAAAATTGTCATTATTGACCAGACCATCCGTGAGGGGGTACAGGGATTTTTTCAAAAAGATTTTTTTTCTCAGATTTATTCAAAACATATATAAATCGACTCAGTTTTTACAGTACACATAACAATCGGATGCGAATCCGATGTTTCCTGATTTATTTAGATTTTACTTTCAATTGGATACTCCGAGCGAAACACAACCGAAGTATGTTGGAAAATAAAAGCATACATTCTGCAGAAACATTTCGACTAACTTTTCGTGATTCTAGTGATTAGTTACAAATAGAACTAAGGGTGGTACGTTTACGTTAATATTAACGTTAACGGCTTTTAGTTAACTAACGCCGTTAATTAACTCGCATTAAATTAAATGATCCACCCCTAAATAGAACCATTCTGTTCTAGTCCAATAAAAATCTCTCTTCAGACATTATCGCTAATTGTCAGAAAAAATAATCACAATGAACAATCTCATGTAATTATGTTTTTATTCCCTTCAAATACTTTGCATGTCTATCTATTTTTCTCGCTGCCATTTTCTGCGCCTAATTAATTAGACGGTCTATGTATTATTACACTATTTGCAAACAGAATATTCTTAATTACTTACAGCTGGTGTCATCATACTGTCAAATTTTTTTTCATATAAACATCGATAAACTCGACCATTACCACTTGAAACTTGAGAACATAAACGTTCACGATCGTCGCGACATGCATAATACAGTGCACGATCAAGATGATAATCATCCGATTGCATTTCAGCTAAATGAAAGATTTCTTTACGACATGTTATCGTTAGTTGGCCGTATTTTTCTGATAAACATGAAATAACAGCACCTTGTTCATGTGGAATCTAGACAAAGGAAAATCTTCTTTTTGTTTTTTCTTATATATTTAGTACATACTGATTCATTTTCATCGTCTAATCGACCACATTCAAGCTTTGCAATATCTGCTGAGCATGCATCAGAAAAATATTCTGTCAAACGCCAATCACTAAAAACAATGGCTTGCATTTGATTAATAAAATAACGGCACGATGGCTCAGTTATATTAGCCAAATAATCATATAAACATGAAACAAGACGACCCGAACCACGTTTAGTAACATATGCTTCGCATTCGTCGAATAATTTAATGTCTTTTGAACACTGTCTTACAGCTGCATCGTCAAAACGTGGATCATGTGTCATATTATATTTAAATTGGTAGATACGCTAAAGAGCAATATTAATCTAAGAATTAATTGGAAAAAAAGAATTTTTTTTCTACTTACATGTTGGCAATCTTTATTAATTAAATTCACTGCCTATAATCATATAAGAAATAGATCAATATCGTTGAAAAAAACGCAAAACTTACGTTATCAAGATCATCAACACATTGTAATACTTTTAAATTTGAGAGCAACTGTTTACTACCTTTACCGCAATATTTTTGCACATCTGATTCGCATTCTTTACTGGCAGCCAGTGGTGTTGGTAATGATGACGATGGTCGACGATTTGAATCAATATATCGTCGTGGTGCTAATGGATCAGAAGCGGGTGGAACATTAGCATTAATACTTGAAGCAGGTTTAAGATTGTTGTTACTTGGCGGCTGCACTCGATTGACTGGTTGAACTTGATCTTCATCATCATTTTCGTCATTATCATTTCGATCATTAGGAACATATTTTTGAGCCAAATTAGCAGTAAATAAGACAAATAAAAGCAGAACTAATAGTTGCCGACGTAGCATTTTGTTGCTTATCTGAAATAATTGTAGAAAATGTGATTTTTGAAAATATTCATTAGTTGCATTAAAACGAAGAAACGAACAAACAGAACAAAATGATGTTTGTTACGTAATTTTTAAGCTTGCAAGGAACATGTTGATAAAACAATAATTAACATATTTAGAAAAGATAAAGAAGCGAAGAGACTAACTGGCATATAATTGTGTGTAATGAAATGAATAGAGTACTGTTGATTTTTTTGCATCTTGACAAAATACTTTTGTGTTACTTTTTTTTTATTTATTCAACGGTTAGCTCATCATTCATGCAGAACACCCATTTACATGTATACGAAAGAAAAAATGAGCATAGTTATACAATAAAAAGAAAGAAAAAAGGTAACGCAAGGAGAATAGTCTCATATTGCTTGAAACATATCAGCCACGTATGATACTGACGTATAAAATTCTGCACATGTTCGGGTAAGAACAGAATAAAAGCTACCAGAGAAAAAAAATTTTGCATTTCTTCGGATGTTTATTTTATGTTGCATAAAGGAAAAAAAGAAATTCGACGAATCAAAAATGTATACTTGGCAAATGATTATTGTCTAGAGAAATGAAAGACATATTTTGATTTTTAATGACTCAACTGCTGTCACATATGTATAGTTGAAGGCTAAAAAATAAAATGATATCGATGAATGAAATGACAATTACTATAGATTTAAAAAACAATCTAACACCAATTCAAATATGATGATTTGCTGTATGCGAATTGGATTTGATAATATCAGACGAGAAAGAATTTATTGAAAATTTTTTGAAGAAATTCTACACCCTAAAAAACGAACCTTCAATACCATGGAGGTCATGTCTCTTAGAAAAAAAACTAATTCTCTATTCCAATATTTACCGACACCAACCCTGTTGTCAAGCTAACGTCATCAATGCCACCAACAGACTACTAACACTAAATACATTTATGAGCATATACGGATCACTGATTCATATGTAATCGACAAAACAATGCGTCATAAAATAGAATACTGGAAATTTTATTTTTGGAGAAATACGTAAAATTATTATGATATACTGTTTATTGTATACTGTTGTTTATCCTGCAATCTAAACTATAATCGGCGTCTCGACAGAGGTCGCTCGTGTATGATGACAATCATAAGTATCAAATAAAGTAGTGGTTTAAACAAATCTGTAACTCACAAAACATATTATCGTCGACTATCAGTTGTATAATATTTTCACAAAAAAAAACACTATGACTTAATGAATAGTTTTCGATAAACATTTTGTTCATGAAATTCGTATTAGAAAATATATTATTTGATCTTGAACTACTTTCTCAATCCATATAACAAGCTCATATGTTCATGATGATGTTGAAACTATTGAGTGTTGTTATTGATACCAGTATCTGTTCTAGAAATAAAATGTGCGACGTAACTGCATGATGATATTCTCTAGAATAGGAATCCAATCAGACAACATTTCAGCTATTGATCTGTATGAAAGATAGACAAGCGCATATATTTAAAGTCGATGGACATTGTCTGTTAAGAATATTCGTTTCTGACTGGGAAATCGTTAAAATTTTGAATATATTCATGTATCTATTAGCTTGATCCCTTCTTAATCTGACCCTGACCATACTGTTGATGCACTCTCAGGCTCTTGCACATTTTTTTCCTAAATGAAACATAGCTAATGTTCGATATGTTGCAACAGCAATGACTCGAATATTGACTATAATGGACTGAGACTAACCGAGAAAGCTACTAGACGATACAAAAAGAAAGGTAAAGAAAATATCATACTGTAACAGATGTACATTCTCTATTATTGTGATGATTCACGTCAGTTAGCATATTCACAAAACAGATATTAGCGAATTATGATGTGTCTCATGAACGCAATATGAATTATCATAAGTTGACTCCTATTAGCGTTGCTAAAGATGGTTGCGCTGTCTATGAAGAGTGGTTTTTGATATATGTAAGCTATTTTTCAACCAATACATTCCATTATAGAGCCGGATATTTCGGCCCAAGTAGCCATCCAGCAAAATTTCTTTCAAATTATACGAAAAGATCTGTTCTCATTACACGAAGTCTTATTATACCACATTACTGTCAACAAACAGTAACAACAATGTTGTTTCTGTTGAAAAATTAAAAACTATTCTAATTTCACTATTATTTTGAAATAATATTTCGTCAAGAGCGTACCGGTATAATATTTTGATTTGATCGCATCACGCTAGAATATCTTTTAAAAACTTCTCGCATAAAAAAGAAACAATTAATTCATAAAAAAAGCATCATAACAGTCATTCGGAAACTGTATTCATTAGATTTTTTAATCATTTTGTAAATTTGTTACATCACCTAGAGAATATATTGAAATATTAATAAAAGCCTGTGTAATCAGAAAATATCTTTCTAAATAAAATTCACGCTTCACATATGAGCAAAAACTAGTCCAGATATAGTTCATGTAATCTACCACGCTAGATAATCATATCAAAAATTTATTTAACGAGAATCTTCTCTTCAAGGCCAACATAGACTTTCGAAAAATACACTTTCTATCGAGCAAGCAAAGTAAATTTTATTGATGAATACTGATTTTATATTAAATAAATATATACAGTGCGCCTAGTGCATAATTGATTTTATAAAAGCTTGTTAGCGCAGCCCCTTTGGGGCTAAAATGTGGAGCTCACAAATGTCCATTAGGCTTACTAAAATAATTCAAAACAGTTCATCTGAAAATTCTACCTTGATTTTCAAAACCTAAAACTAGGTCATTGTCTATTTACTTATGTCTGTAGTAGAGTATTAATTGTAAGCTCGTATATTTAACAATGGCAGAGACTAGTTTCTATGGTCTGTAATGGGCAAGCATTGCTTTCTTTTTGTGTAGTCTGTAATTAAAAAAGGAAGAAATAGCAGTCAAATTAGTGAAGCTCCTAATTAGCACAATTTTAAACTCATTAATGTCTGTAATGGGAAGGGGGAGCCAGAAAAATCTCACTTTTAAACTTACGCTCACCATTGTCTTCGAAAATATATGCGAGTTCCACAAAAATGTTACCAGGCGATCAGTATTAAAGCATTTCAAAATTTTTGTTTCTAAAAGATTCTCAATTGATTTTTCAGGGTCAATGGGCATTGTACAATAATAATAATAATAATAATAATACTTTTTAGATTATTGTCGCCTTTTTTCATTTTTAAATGAAAAGATGAACGATAATTAAACTTGAGTTTCATTAAGAATTTGGCAAGTATATTGATTTTTTTAGTCTCGAGTAGATGATCAGGAGTGTCTCGAAACTTTCAACTTAGAGGGGAGGGGAGGGGCGAAAGACGTTTTGCTTGAAAAACTAATCTTTTTTAATAATTGAGGGGACACCCAGGTCAGGATACCCCTGAGTATCATGGCCTTCAGCGAGATATAAAATAGTCGTTCAAACAGGAATGGTCGAAGAGAAGATAGTGAAGAAAATTATATCTAAACTAAAAAATAAAATATAGTGATGTCCTATGAACCAAAGAAAAAAAACTTTTAATGTGTTTATCAGCAAAAAAACGAAAGGCAATGTGCTATCTGAAAGTTTGCAGGCAGAAGAGAGCTACCCAGAACGAAATTAAGAAGGTCATGAGTAGTTCCATGAAAAGAAATGAAATGCATGATGATTTAGAATCATCTCAGAAAAAAAATAAAATCAAGAGACGAACAAAAAATAGCATCACACTATGACTATGTTGTGTCCAGCTTCTGGACGGACAGAAAGATAAATGTGTTTCACCCGAGAATTAACATTGAATATACGATAAAAATTTTATTGAGTGAAGAAGTATACAACATATATGATTAACCTATAAGATTAAACTTTAAATGCATAAGTAAATCCGAAACTATGTAAATTGATCAACAACTTTTTCCATTCTTTCACGACAGTTAATAATGAGTCAAAAGTGAATTCACGATCAAATACATAAGTGATCAACAATGATAAAAGGAAAAGTAGTGCACACTCAGAATTTCTTGCCATTGGTTAGGAGCCAGATAAAGTCCAATTCTACAGTTTTCTAATGTATTCAGCTCGTGCTACGGAGATTTACTTTTGCATCGTATATATTGTCTTTCAGGCTCATTTATTTCTTAAGAATTTGTTAGGAGTTTTTTAACGCGATGACGTTTCATTAGACTTTCATCGGCACGCACAATCTCATCGTAACACAAGTAGAACAACATGTCATTTTGAATCTATTCTATTGAGTGAGAGTTTATTCTGCAAATAAACAGCATGAAATAAAAAATATCATAAATTCAAACGTTTAGTTTCATTCGAGTATTCTCCGATGCAAATCTCTGGAATTCAAATTTCTCTAAGACAAAAGCTTACTAGTGTAATTTACGCATACAAAACCACACTCTCAATTGATCTAGAATAAAATGATCATTGTGGGATTGGATGTACATTTTCAATTTTCTTCAAATAGTGCGATTTCAAAAACACAACACCAAATAATGATCGACCAAAAATGTGGTTTATGCCATTAGGAGCATCGATCCTGAACTAAACAACAACATTTTAGTTGACCGTTAGTCTAGTGGCATGAATTGTGCCAGTGTTTTCCGAAAAATAATACCACCAGCAAAGAGGTAATGACGAAGTAGCAACTAAACAGAAAACAATTAATTAGCTCGTGTAAGAATTATTACTGATCATATAGTCAGGTTATCAACAAGCTGCTATTTTGCAAATCTATTATCGAGACTATAACCACGAGAACAATGATAGTATGGCCTTTTCGTTACATCTACACACGCTCTTCTTTCTCTATATATCATGTTGCTTATCCATTACAGTAAGAAACAAACCAAGTATATCTATGTCTTGTACATTTTTCAGTGTTCTAATCAAAATATTGAGTATCTTATGAAAATTAATTCATGAATCAGACACTATAACTATACTCTATATGTTTTACTGCTTCTACAAATTTATTTTAAAAAGCGTGAAAATTTTAGTTCAAATAGCAATACTATTAATATTCTCGCCTTAATAAGTTCTCTATCTATTTTTTGAATGCAATGTTGATCAGATCCAGTCCTTGATGTCGTCTTTGGGGTAATTTTTTAGAGAGGTCAGATTCCGAACGATGCTAATACTGAATGTGATAATTACCGTTTCAGGAATGAATAACACCCTTAGAACTCGTGCGATTCGATTGTAATAGCCACATTGCCTGGAAGTAAAAGCCGAACATGAGGTTATGACTCCATTGGCCACGGCATCCGCGCAATAAAGCAAATCTCCAAAGATAACACTCAATAGAATGCATGATACAACAATGAAACGATACGTATTGCGAAATGAACTCATCTGGCGACGTGTAGCCATAGGACTACTGATAAGAAGCCGATCAACCGTCGCCAAATTGGCCATCCAAACTGATAAACTTGAAAAATTATAATAGATGAAGTGGCGAATTTTGCACAGAACCCCAATAATCGCTGAATAGTCTAGATTGTTAGTGGTAAGCATTCGTGGCCATGCAATAGCCAAAGTCAAAATCAAATCAATACAGGCACTTGAGATAAAATAGACAGTGCAAAGACTTGCACGAAGTTTTCGTTGGGAAAACACCATAATATTTAATATATTACCAACTATCCCAAGGATAACTAGAACAAGGATACCATAGTGAGAAATCAATATTGTAATATTAGTCAATTGATGTAGATGCTTTCCTTGCCGACAATTCCATTATAATTAACGGGTAATCTTACTTATTCTTCACACTTTTATAGACACATCACTATCGTGGGTTCTCAAAATAAACACGTTTGAGATAAACAGTCTACTATCTCTGTGAAGATTCATGGATTGTAAATCCTCTTAAAATAAACACTTCTTAAATGAACATCCAGCTGTTTATACCAGTCTTTATAATGATATTAAGCATCTTAAAAGAGAGGTTTCTTAAATAAACATGCTGCTATTTAAACCAATCTTCGTAATTATTTTATTTAGATAGTTGATCCGTTTCTAACAGAACTTTGGACTTTCGTTTTCTTTTAGTTATGTAGCTGATCGTCTAGAAGTTTTAGATTTCGTTGCAGAGAAAATAACTATTTGAATAACAATATATACTTCTCTACACAGTATCTGATTCGAAAAAATATGATAAATGAATTTCTGTTTTTATAAAAACGTTAAATTCATATTTCACATATGCTAATTTTCTTTCTTTATTTTATTCCCTAGACTGAAAGGATAGGGTCTAGAAACCGTAATCCACCTGTGTCTGTCTGTAGCAATGGCGCAAACAACCACAAATGACCCTTTTTATGGCACAAAGCGCATTGTTACGGCACAAACCATGAGCGGATGCATGACATGGTCACGTGAAACAGTCCGCTCTGGAGATGTGATCAGTGGAGGAGGCGAGCTGATCTCCCTACGGAACTTTGAGCTAACCATCACGAAATTTCTGAACGCTGTACTTTTGTGGCTGGGTAAGACTCAACCTCTCCCCCACCTTAAGGGTCTTTGAGCCCCATTCTGTCCGTGTTTCGAATTCACTTTTAGTGCTTTTACTTGATACCTTTAATTTTCGTCTAATCCTTACTTCAGTTTCACTTATTCCGACCCCCTTCACAGGTCTGTTTGAAAATATCATCACCAGCTGCTGACACAAACAACCGATTTTCTGTCCTGTCCATACATTTCTTCTCTTCAGCACTGTCAGTCTAGGACCCAGTGAATCGACTTTCCATGTCGATGAACGTTACTTGTTCTATATTGATAATCTATTGAATTTACAAATTGTGACTGTTTCATAAGATACTTCATCAGAAATTAAATTGAAAAAACAAATGATATGCACATGCATAAGAATCTAAAAAGTTAGTCTACTTATTTTTTATTTCCTTTTAATCATTGTTTGATAGTGATATGGAAAATGATTCAGTTCCTCTCTATATATTACTGTTACTGTTTTGTTTTTCATAACACTATCAAAAAATGACTAAAACAAAAAGAAAGACTAGTATTTTTGCTCTTATAAATGTGTATACCATTTATCTTTAATTTATTGTCTGGTGAAGTATTGCATCGAAATACGATGTGTGATAATTTTCAATTCAATAAATAATATTGATATAAAATGAAATCAAGGAAGACAATCAACTCTTACAAAATTATTTGAGAATTTAACTTTGCATTAATTTGATGCGCAAATATATATTGGATACATCTGATATGAATGTGAGCAAGAAAATGACAATGATGATCGAAAAAATATTTCATATCTTTGACGGTCATGAAATGATACAAACATACATGCTAAGATTCAGGGAGCAGGATGATGATGCTTAACTCTTGAGTCTCGCCTTCAAACGAAGATAATCTTGGCAAAGGAATATTTTTTTTCTGAATGATTACAATATAATATGTGACGTATCTAAATTTTTAGTGTGGAAAGGATATATTGATATGCGTATACGGTATAGATAAAGTTTGTTACCGACGCAGTAAGATTATCAAACTCGCTTAGGTTCTTGAAAAAGTCGTCTAGTTTTAAAATCTGAATTAAACATAATAGTAGCCATACTAGTTTTACGTTTGTAAGTTAGAAATTCATTTAGATTGATAGGATAGAAAAATTCATGTACATTTATATAGGTATACCCACACTTTAAGTAAGGTACTAAGTAAATACAAGAGATGACTTGTCACATGGCAGTCATTCATGTCATAAAATCAATTTTTTGTCGCATTTACTTTATTTTTATGTTTATAGAGAAAAAACAAATTTGAGCATATGCATTGCTTGGATAATTAAGTTCATTTTATTGTTGCAATATTATTGATTGCAATGATATGTGAGTACAGTACATGAGAAATTATTTTTGCCTTATTTTAATCTATGATATGCATTCGCAAATAACAGTATCTTGGTTACAGAGACTTTATACTCAAAATTTCAACATTGTAAGAGCACTGTATGAGTGCTGTACCTTCACGACTGAAATGTTGAACTCGCTTGTTTTCCAGTTTCATTATACTAATAGAATATGTGACATCTTGCAGACAGTGTACATGAGAAGAGGAAAATCGAGGATTTCTAATAAGAAAAGATGATGGAAAAAGAAACATGATGTTGTTTGTAAACGATCCATAGCGGTTTAGAAAAAGATTAAAAAGCGACAGATTAGCTAGTTACTAATCTGTATTCGCTTATGGCTAAAAAACTCGAAAGATAAGGGTACTTTTTTAGTTGATGAGTGAATATGCAAAATAGAAAACTTTTAAATTCGAAACAACGCATGCTGTCAAAAAATTTATTTAGGTTAAAATTGCTTGCGAAATGAAAGAACTATGAACGTGTTGTAGTTAAAAGTAAACTTAGGCACAATTTATTGTGATTAGACGCTACCAAAAAGAAACTGCTTTTTATTGATTTTATCTTCTCTTATCGATCAGAATTATAATTGTTTGTTCAAATAAACCTCACATAAAGCAGCAAAATACTTATTTATACGAATAAGAAAGTAAAGATTTTAGACGTTTATAAATCTTATTTCTTGAGAAACAACAATTATAACAAAGACGAAGAATGATAAACAGCTCACGTTAGGCACGATCAATGTCTTGGCAGTTTATTAATGCATTGCAGCTCAAATAGTCAACACAATTTTACAGATCTTTATAACAATTTGCCTCTCATATCAAAATGGAAAAATATCCCATGAACCAAGTTTGCTAATGGGTTACTTCTAAATTTAAAACGACTAATTTTTAAATTAAAATTCAAAGCATATATAGATTTAACGGAACCTTCTTCTTAAAGTAAATTAGGATAAATATGAAAACGGATTGAACTAAACATAATCTTAAAGTTTCTCCATTGTTCTTCCACAGAGTGAGTGTTATCTCTAGTTGCCTCGCCAGAATAGATACTATTTTATCTTTTGGTTAAAGATTTATCCTAGATTTTTTCCTACTTGTTCAGTCGAAGAACTCTGCCAATGTGTGTTAGCAAGAGACTATTGAGTCACCTGCGTCATTCATTATCTGCTATCAACTAGTTCCGTTGTTGTCATATACAAATCACTTCGCAACAATCGTTGATGGCTTACTTATTTTTATATCATTCGGTTGAGGAAATACTTCTTTAATCGAAAAGTAAAATAGATCAATATTCTATTCATATATTTAGTTTTTCGAAACAGAAATGGAAACACTCAAGGCGTTTGAGAAGCTGCTCTTATTAAGAACGGGTGCTCGACGGATTCTTAAAAAAATAGCTATATTGAAGATACCGTATAGTATTCTAGTTTGAAAAAAGAAAAAACTCTTGATCAGATAAATATCAAAAGACTAAATCACTCTTCAAGTAACTTTTCTACTGAACAACGAATAATTTCATGCTCGCATAGTTCAAAAGTGAGTATAAATGATTTCTGATCACTTGCTGTTGAACTTGACTTCCATTGCTTAGGATCATTTCTCAAGTTAGACGAAGACCATCATGATGAAATGTTGATGAAATTTATTTTGAAATAAAATCTGGCAGGATTGCAAAAACAGAAAATGAGGCAGTAAGTACAAAAATTTGAGCGATAGAGTAATTTCTTTTCAAACACTCCGGGCAGTATTGCTTCAATACATTCACAATTGAGAGTGGCAAATGATGGAAAGAAATCCTAAGAGAAGCGAATACATTTTAAGTCAAACCATATCCCACAAAACTTGATTTCACCCTGTTGCGATTTCAAGTATCAAGTAAAACGCACAAATTTTTAATTTTGCTAAATATAATTACATTGAATTATTAATCAGTTATCAATTGGTTCATTGTACACAGTGCTTCTAGTGCACCAAGTGGCAACGATATGTTGTCTTCATGCTCATCAATGTGTGGTTGATGTAAATTGATTCGAATATGTGTTGCACGACCCCCACGCGTGCGATGATCTGCTACAATGCGTGCTGCCTCTTTGCGTAGTTTCGCCATTACAGTACCACAGCCAATTTCCAGAACAGCCACTACTCGTTCAGTAGACAATTCACGAAAGAATGTTTCATGGCGTCTACATGCAACCTCAACTTGTGTGGTATCCCAATGGCCGTCAACTGCTAATTGTGTGCATACACGTGCTGGACCATCACATTGCATACATAATGGTGGAGGTCCAAGTAGTAGCATTGTGTTCAAATCGACTGATGGCATAACTTTTATGTCAAGTGCCCATGGATGTGCACCACATCGATTCATGCATTGTGCATCATACATTGATCCATGCATCTCGAATACATTGTCGACTGTGAAACCTGTACGTAAAAAATGACGATCCAAGTTCGTCGTTACCACACGTACATTGCGTTTGTTCGATTTACTCCAAGCATGAAGTATATGATAGCCAACATGTGGTAGTGTATTCGAGTATTCCCGCTGTCTTGTTATCCAGTGACCCCATGCTAACATGGGATTTCGCTCAAATAATGTATGGTTAGATAAATCATAAACACTCAGTCCAATTTCTGCCAGACGTGGATGTGCAAGGTGAATGCCACCATAGTAGTCTGGTAGACCAGCATCAACGCCCATTCCAGCTCCTGCTGCGACCAGTAGTACATCGGCGTTTCGCACACACTGAGCTGCACGCAACATAGCCTCGCCAACGTCATGCTGTTGATTCATAAGAATAGTCACTATTGGTAGATTGATCGTGGGTCTATAAGGAAACTGATTCTTTTTGTTTTAATTAGCGTTACTCAATACAGATGCTGATAAAATTAACAGGTCTACGTTGAGATTACGAAAAAAACATAACGAGACAAGAACTAAACGCACACTCTCACGTTCTCGAAGAAAGTCACAATTTTAAGAGTAATTCGAGAAGATATATGAAAAGATAACACAAGGAGAAAAACATCAGCATGATGTAGTAAAGTATAGAAAAACAATAAAAATAGTCAGTATGACGAAGATCGTTTTTAATGCAAATAACAATACTATCAGTACGTTGTAGAAACATTATTGTCACTCTCGTTATAATTGTTGGTTATATTCATCGATCATTCCAGTTCTATTCATGTCATATGGAATACACTATTATATAGGAGAACACGTGGGAGAGTGCGACTAAAGCAAGTGTAGTGACACAGCAAACTGAAACAGGATTACAAAATTACAACCAGAAAGTTCTTTATCTTGGCATATGTCAAGAACAAATATAACTAACTGTGGTGTGACTCATATGAGCTAAATAGATAGAATGAAGGCATCGTCGGGCCTAATATGAACTCACCTTATTTATTGCAAGATACTCCTCACTTGACAGAAACTATTGAAAATAAAACCGACACTAACAGTCAATAAGCATTATTCGAACAAGATGAAGAAACAGTAAACTTGATAGAAAAATTGTGCGCATTACAGCGCAGCTTCTGAACTTATTCATTTGACTATTGCAGGATGATATATAGCTGAGGGTACATTGTCACATGTCGAAAAATGTATTGCAGTCTTACCATTTCTTAAATTATCCTTCTATTATTCACTCGATTGAAACATTTTTTTAAATCAAAAGGTGATACTTGAAGTTCTGCACAGAACATTACATTTTATTAAAAGTATTATCTCCTCGGCTCTTATTTATCATACACAATTGCACAGCGAAATCAAATGTAGAGTTTTTTGTTGTTTTATTTTTTGCAATTTTATTGGCAGAACTTTTACTGATGCTTGGTTCCAATTCGTGACTTTAGTTAGTTCATTCCATGTACTATAATCTATAGTGTAACTGATCAGGTAGATTCTGTGACTCATATATCTTCACAATAAGTGCAAGAGAATTAGCAGTACATCACTCTTGACTCGGATGATATTTATGATATTTTGTAAAACCCCACTGGTGTGTTCAACAGTTGTCTAACGTTGTTTTTATCAGATTCTGTAACTTTTATAGCAGTAAATTCATAGTTGTTCTCACTATATCCCTTGTTTCATCTTCTAAAATGAGCGGCACTACTATCTCTTGCATCTATTTCATTGTTTACGGTTTAGCTGTTGTTACTAATCAAGACAGTGTTGTTTTATTTCATCAATCTTGAACTCAATATCTGCAATGAGAAAACAGTTTACATGTTCTCATGAGATATTAACGATATATGATCACCAATCGTGTATCAGCAACGTCTACCACGGTTGCTAATTGTTGAAATTTCTGTTATTAGTAGTAACTAAACTCTTGACTAATATTCTCTGTGCGTTCCCTTTCTGAATATTCATTTTAGGAACAAATCTTCTTTTTGATGCCTGCTCTTACTGACCTAGATGACGTTTAACATTTGAGATGTTGCGTTTAGTTCGAATTGTGTTGGAACTACTGGAAGAGGAGAGTGCATAAATAAAATCGTTGTTTTTCACCGTTTTGAACTCGTAACTAAATGGTTCACAATGAAACAACTCCATAATCTAAATATCAGTAATTTTTATTATTACTACTTTTAAAAGTTTGTTGTTTCTCATTCTTTTTTCAAATGAGTTTCCAATCCAATTATACATATTTTTGTTGAGAACTGTAGACTCTATGTTTTGATGAAGTACGTTTCGATGCAGATAGGATAATAGAAGGAAAGTTCAAAAACAATAAGAACACAATTTATCTCCATTCATAGTGATATTTCGAGTGATGTGCTCAAACCATGCCGGTATCAACATTCTGTCTATCGTAAGCAATTATTTCAAGTGAATCTAGGGTGTTTGTGAAATCAACGCTTATTTTCAATCATGATTTTCATCTAAAAGCAATAATGGAACGTGGCCTTGCTGGTCTAGTTCGCATGCTGAAAAAGAGTGCAGATGTTTCGATGAGACTCTGAATATTCTTACACGCCTTCATATATACCTTTAATGAACCCAAACTCACGCCCCGACTTCGCCGAATGATAAACCTGAAAGGGCTCATGTTGTTTCTAACGGTGGTGAAGAAACAGATATTCACCAATCACACATATATGTAAGATCAAGTTCTTATATAAACACCTATAAACGAAACTACCAAGAGAGAAATTCTGCATCAGTTCTTTAGCAATCGTATTAATTTAGACTCATATTATTTGGTACTTCGAAATAGACAATCTCTCCATGCTGTAACATAAGAATACGATCACTACCAGCTACTGTATTCAATCGATGGGCAATTGTTAATATGGTACGATCACGAAACTTGTCAGCAATCACCTCTTGAATCATCTTATCGGTCGCATGGTCAACATTCGCTGTAGCCTCATCAATTAGCAATATGTTGCTCTTCTTTAGAATTGCTCGAGCTACACAAATTAGTTGTCGTTCACCAGCACTCAAATTAGTACCTGCTTCCGCCACCAATAGATGAAGCCCATCGGGATGTTGGCGCACCAATTGTTTCAGTTGAACAGCTTCCAATGCCATGAAGCATTCTTCATCGGAGTATTGTTCGAATGGATCAATGTTGTATCGAAGTGTACCGCTGAATAGTATGGGTAGTTGTGGAATAACACTTAGACGAGAACGAAGATGATCCAGTGAAAGACGACCAATATCGATGTCATCAATGTGAATAGTTCCGTTAATTGCTGACTGATCAGCCAGTCGAAAGAGAGCTTGAAACAGTGATGACTTTCCGGCACCTAGACAAAAAACAAATACTGATAAACAAATGATGTCAGGAGGATAATCACGCATTCAAATTCTCTCTCTAGATCTTTTAATAGTACACTATCTCGCATAAATGTATGCCAGAAAATCTGTGTCATAAAATGCTGAAAAATTATTTCACATGGCGAATGCTGACTATGGAATCACCGATTGATATTTCAGTACTAATTACTAGCTATGTATTTGTTTATTCTATAATAGCATAAAAGAAACAAGTTATATCCATTTTATTCAGGTTTTCTGAATGTGTAGTAAAAATGGTGTATTATCAACTCCTGCAAGCAATCTTTTATTGGCAGTGGCAGCATTTTTTGAATGATTTTTGCTTTGTATCGAAGAGCATTCTCCCAATTGAAAGATATTTATTTGAAATATCCATAACCGCTAAAATTATTACTAATGAACTTGACATAGAATAAATATTTTTGAAATCTTCCACTATGATCACATTTGATTAGATTTATTTCTTAGGCATACTTGTGTGTTGAAAACGAGTAGGCATTTTGATAAACAAAAAGAGGAAATATTAGCATTAGGAAATCTTCTTTTTGCCGTATGCCGATTCGTTTTCAACCAATTTCCTATATCTTTGTAACGAATACAGTGCATGCATAATCTCAGAAGTGAAGTAATCATACCTGTTCGACCAATAACTCCGATTTTTTCCTTGGATTCAATTCGTAGGTTTAGATTTTTGAGTACAGGATCGAGTTCTGACCGATAGCGAAAAGTATAGTCTTTAAATTCGATAATACCACGAGAAGGCCAATCATTTGGTGGTTGAATGAGAGCATCGTTGTCATTCGTGTCTCGGTGACTTTCTGGTACCAGTTGACCATATTCATGAATACGTTCTGCACTGGTCATGAAATTTTCAGCTTCCGCTGATTGTCGTATAGCCCATTGAAAGAGACCTGTTAGAGTGATGCAATAACTGATACTAAGTGCTGCTGCTGATGGATCAATTTGATGACGCAAAAATACAGCAAGAATCGCAGTAACTAAAGTGAGTAAGGATGCCAGAATATCGAGTCGTAAACCAAACCAACGTGCAGTGGCGAACAAAAGGAAGTAAGCTCGCGAGTTAGTATCAATTTTTTCGATGAACTTATTTAAAAAATCGCTTTGAACGTCAAACGCACGAATACTAGTCAGTCCATCTAATGATGATGAGAACAATGTATAAATAGGACTTCGCGTCACACTTTCAAGTCGTTTGAGTTGACGGCTTGAACGCACATAAAATCGACGAAGCCACAAAACTGCAGGGACCAAAGGAATGAGAACTAGAAGCACCCATTTGTTGGTCATTCCAATGATTGTGATAGAACCAATTGTCATTAGTAGATATTGTGTAGTATCAATTAAAGCTATAGGCAACGATTCATCTAACACTTGTTGATCTTTACTCGCTCTATTCAATATACGTCCACTGGGATTACTTTCAAAGAATCGTAACGAAGTATGCAAGATACTTTTGAGCATTTTATTGTGAAAATATGTTGAACCATGTAACATAATATAGAAAATAATGCCGACACGTAAAAATGCAACGATCAACGTTAAGCCTATAGCTCCAACATAGATGTAAGCATAAAACGGTGATCGTTGTTCGATTTTATCTTTACCAGACCACAAAGCTAACCATCGATTTGAAAAATCATACAAAGCTTCATTACCAAACATAAAAATAATCATTAGAAACAAGCCAAACCAATGTAAAGGTGGCGAAGTAAATAGTTTTAGCCAAACACTCCATTTGATATCACCGTCAACTGATATCTCACTCTTTACAATAGAGTTTGTATCAGTTATAGCGGTATCAAGTATCGATTCTAGCTCATTGTCGTTAGATGAAAGTGTATCGGATACATCATTCGATGACCCAATTGTTGTTTGTTGTTCATTATATGACACATCGACGTGACCATTTGTCAAGAGAATTGTTTGATCGGTTTCAACTAAAAAATGTGTCTGATGCGTAACTAATATTCGAGTCTTACCACAAAGAAGACTGCGAGGACCAATGCATTGATCAAAAATGTTTTTTGCTACTTTTGGATCAACAACAGCAAGTGGATCGTCAAATAAATATAATTCAGCATCAGTGTAAAGAGCACGTGCCAGTGATATTCGAGCCTTTTGTCCTCCACTTAAATTGACACCTTTGTCACCAAGAACCAATAAATCACCGGCTTCACCAATATTTTGTAGATCGATATTAAGACAACATGCCTTTATTACATTTTTATAACGTTCTTCATCCATTGGTTTACCAAAAAGAATATTAGCTCGAATTGTATCAGCAAATATCCACGCCGATTGGGGAGCATACGAAATCGAATTAACATTTAGTTCTAATTTTCCACTGACAAGATTGATCTCGCCTAGAATTGCAGCCAGTAAAGTTGACTTGCCAGAACCGGTGATACCTTTCACTCCAACCAAACTAGCTCGTTTGATTTTGAGATTCAGAGAGAATAAAGTAGAAATATCTTTCCAAGAGAATGATGCATCTTCCATTATGAGTGCATGATCTTCATTTTCGTTTTTTACTTTGTCACGTTTCTTCGACAAAATATTCAATTGCATAAATTGATTGATTCTTCTTGCAGAAACACGAGCTTCACTAAATTTTTCAATGACCTGCGGCATTGTAACTGTTACTGGAACTCGAACCATGACGAAGAAGGCTAGTGTTGCGAATATATCTTCTGGAAGTAGAGTTCGACCCATTAACCAAATGCCACCGAATATAGCAAGAGAAATTAAAGGTAACGCTGCGAATGAAAGAGCTGTATTGAGAGCTCTCAAACAGCTCGCTTTGTATATACTCGAAAGTTCATTTCGACGCGTTTCATATACTCGTTGCTCCATGGCTTTTTCCCAATTATACATTTTAATAATTTGACATCCGTTGACAATTTCATTGATCGTTTGCACGCGCTTGTCAGTACATGCCATTGTGGTCTTTCTGTATCGACTAAATTGCCTACTGAAAATGAATTGCATTGGTATTAATAAAATTAGAACTGCATAACCAAATATTGTTGGTAAACCGATATACCACCAAACGAGACCAAACGTTATCAGCGCTTCCAGAGGTATCAACACTATAGTATGTACGAACATGGTTAATTCCTCAAATTTACTGGCATCATTTGCTACTAAATTAATTGTCTGAGCAGCTGTTGTCTTATGAAGAGCCTCGGTACTAATAGTTAACAAGTGTTTATATATGCTAGATGATAATGTATTTCGAACACGCATGCCTATGCGAGCGTTTCGAAAGAAGATTTGTTGATGAATAATGGCTTGTAAGATTGCAGTAATACACAGAGCACTAGCAAATAGATAACCCGCGTAAGCAGGTAATACTGATTCACCTTTAATGTAGAGAATAATTTGACGAATAAGCAATGGTTGTGCAATATGAGCCATAATAAGTGGAAAAGCGAGAAATATGCTTAAAAGAAAATCTTTATAAAAGGTTCGTATGAATACGTGCCATGTACCTGGCCATTTAGAACTATACCGATTCACTCTATTCAATAAGACTGAACATTTATCATTGACAGAAAGATCATTAAGATCGCTTTCAACAAGTGTGCGCTTATTACCCAGTGAAAGAAGAGGCGTTATCCATAGCAATAGTGGTAGTTGTATCCATCTTACACATGACGATTCAGCCCAATCCAATCGACTTGATTGTCGCTGTTCACCTAAAATGTATCATAATCGAAATGAAATTGTATAGTGTTCTGCTAATAAATCATCTGTAGAAGTTTATGAGACCTATTTTATCGTAAAATGACTCCACGTCATTTTCTCTTCTGTACTCGTAAAATAAGATATGCTTCCAAGTAAAGTGCTCTTATCCTTTGTCTCTATTTTCTTGTCTACTTTCTGAATAATATAGAAGAGTAAAGATGTGGATCTTTGCTTCGCCCAGACTTCACAAACCTACATCTAGATGCATTTTTTAGTTTAATCATATACTTACTCATATCAGTTACTGCAAAAAAGTTGATTTGATATCACCACTATAAATTTACTTCATATCGTTTTTAGATGCTAAGCATCAACTATAACACTTTATGAAGATTGTTGTCTTAGATGTTGTTATTTGAAACATAAAATTTGCCTTATCATATTTTCTGATGCACCTTTCTGCTATTTCTTATCATTTTCACATGAAGGATTCTTTACTCACATATGTGACTATATTCTTGATGCGTTCGGAATATAGAAGAGGTACGGACAATAAATGAAACAAAAATATCAAGAGTTAAAATTTTCTTTTTGCAGACGAACGTATTCTTACAGAATTTTTTCAACTGTGTAAGTACGAGTTTCTTGAGTGAATATTCATCACATCCTTTCACACCTAGATATTCACACGATCACTTATAAACTGTAATCATTTAAAGATTTGCCAAATTGATAGAATAATTTCTTCAACAAATAGTAGTACAGTGAAAAGTGTAACTGGTCTTCTTGTGCGTATGATTCCACATTGATTCCCCGGTTGATGATAATGATAACCAGAAATTGTGTTAAATTCTAAAGCGATGACCAAATACATTTTGCCAGAAACCGTTGGCTTTTCTAGAAAAGTACAAAAAAAGAATAGCACGGCGTTTTCCTTCACTCTGTACAGAGCTTTATTATATATCCGTATCTTCAATGTAGTACATCAAAAATATCGAGTTTTTCTGTCTGATTAAGATTTCTAATGCTTCTATTTCACTGGCGTGGCAGTATATCAGTTTTGATAAAATAATGGCTTCATCAAAGAAAAGCAAACTATAAACGAGTTTAAACAAGAAATCTTCTGCTGACTCGAATGAACATAAACAATGCATTAAAATATATAAGATCATCACTTTTTGTGTGTATTAAATCCATTTAAACCTGTTAATATGAGAACAAACATTTATGAACGAGTTCAAACTTTTGATTTATCAATATGAATTAGTTGTAATTCATTGCTATCTTCATTCGTCATCGAAAACCCATTGAATCATCATTTGAGCATGCATTTATATGCATGTGTAAGATATTACAATGCTAGTTTTTACCGCAAAAGAGTTGTTTTCATGTATGAATAGAAAATGTAAGAAAAACTTGCATTTATCAGTGTAATCATGTATCATGCTGCACTGTCATGCATTATAGCTTATCATCACATTCATCTAATGACGTTACACTTTTTCTTGCAATGAGGAAGATACGAGACGACAGAGGTTTGTTTTCTACAGCGAGGTAAAACAAGAGGCACTCGTTTTTTCTTTTTTCCTCGTCATCATTCCATTAAGGCATCACTCGAAAAAATAGGGTAATTGTACGTATATTGCTAGTCATTGTCTACTGAATTCAAAAATATTCTGCATAATATTCTCAAAAGTCTTATTTTTTAAAATAAACTCATTCCATGCTGTATCCAAAACGTCTTGCCGGATAAAGACGTTTAAAGTCTTTTGAATGATTCAAGTGACATACATGTTTGAAATGATATTATTTTCTTTATCGATTCTTCTTCTTATTCTTTTAATCTGCTCTTTAGTAGGATTTCTAGAAGACATGAGATTCAAGGTATTCATATTAAAGAAAACAGAAGCCTATTTAGTAGATCCACTTCATCGTCGAAAGGCAAAGAACACTTATTCTACTAAACTAGTTACTGAGTTTTGTCAAAAGTCAGTATGCTGCTGAACAAAATTTTGATATAGGTAGAATATTTATAGCCCGATGGATCTGCCTATGAAGTCGCTGATTGTTGAAAACGTATATCGACACACAAGTGGTAAAAGCAGTGACTCTTTTTTATTCAGAATCTCCCTTACTGATCATGAAAAAAACTGGTCATACATTTGTCTTTCGTGTACGTTTGCATGCGTATTTAACAAATTCTGACGAAAAGCGCTTGCAGATAGCTTCCCCTATTCAAAATCTATTTTGAGTTTTATCCTCTTAGGCTTAAAGAGATATGCCTCAATAATTATTTGTTCTTGCTCAAGAAAAATAATGTGAACATAATTCCGGATATAGTGTTTCGAATATTTTGTAGATAGAAAGAGAAAGGATAGAATAGAACGCAGTGTTGCAAACAAATCTACTATAAGAACATGGAAACTGAAACTGAATGTGATATTGTCGCGGGAAATGTAAGCAGCACTTTACCAAATCCTGTTCTTCGCGAGGATGTAGTTCTATGCGACGATGATCTTAGCGCAGAAGCCAAATCCCAATTCAATTTTCATTCTGAGATCTTGCAAGCGTTTCAATTGAATGCTCGCCTCGTACTCGCCAATGATCGCCTAACACCAATCGGTCGACATCTATTCTGTACGTCAGTAGAACAGAACTATAAAAATTGTAAGGACGTTCTCAACTACGTTGCCAGCCACTCCGAATCGCAAACGGAAGCGCATCCGATGCCTCCATTGTTCGTTTTATGCGGTGCAGCCCGTACAGGTACAACACTTCTCTACAATTTGCTTGCATGTGATCCTGCATGCCGAGCGCCATTGTTAAAGGATATGATGAATCCAGTCCCACCACTTGCTCGTTCAAATAGCACTACAAATATGCTTGCTCAGAACTTGAATGATCCCATATTGAGTGATTACGAACGAGATAAAAAAGCGTCTCACCCTTGCTACAAATACGAGGAAGACGTGAACATCCTTTATCAGAGTGGCCTCTTAGTACCCCATCTGGAACCTCCTGAAAGTACAGAACTTGCAACTTGGTTTTACAACGATACAAACAAAGATTTTGTCTACAAATATCACAAAACATTTATGAAGATGATGAATAGCGTCGATGCACCTCAGTCACATTGGCTCTTGAAAACTCCGTATCATATATTCAATCTTGACACTTTACTACATCACTATCCATCTGTTTCACTCATCATGACCCACCGTCAGCTACATGACGTACTGCCGTCCTCGGTTCGCTTGGGATTGGCATTTGCAAGCATCTATTTCGATAGTAACAGGCATGATGCCGCGATCGATAAACAAACGATTGTGAAGCGCCGTTTACGTGCAACAGATATTCAGATTAATCGCATTGTCAAATTTCGTCGGGCGCATCCACACGCTGCCGTTTTCGATGTACTCTATGATGATCTCATCACGAAACCCGTTGATACTGTTCGTTGCATCTACAATCATTTCGGACTCAAATGGTCGGAAGAATTTGAGCAAGCTATGATTACTTGGCTACGCGATAATCCTCAAGGTAAACAAGGACGCAACATCTATACACTGGAAGAATTTGAACTTACACATGATGCCATTGAACGAAAGTATGAGGAATACAACAGGATGTTTCTCAATCGTGAGGACATACTTAAGACCGATGATAGAGCGACCAAAAGTGCAAACTCCTCTCCTGATCACATGAACACTGTGGTTGATTCTATTGAATAAAATATTCGATGTTTTTTTTTCCATTTCTAATTCCTGTTTCAAAAGCAATATTTTTCAAAAAATTAACATGTGCAACAGATCGTTTCATAGAATGATTTATAAAACAAGAAATGTACATTGAAAGTAGGATATAATTAAGTAAATGGACAAGTAGTGTGTTAAATTAGTAACCATGACGCGTTTCCACTTTCCTCAATGGTCTCATCAAATGTTTGAATCTGTAGAATAACATTTATATTCACTCACAATTACTTGAATATTATTAAAAATCCAAAAATATGTAGTCCATGATATATAGAAAGTCTCATGGATAATATTACTGACTAAGCTATAGAAGCACTAAACGAGGCCGTACCACTGTCACGATTTTTCAACCATCAATTAATAACATACTTATTTCCAATAGTTTTTGAGAATGATTGAGACAAATTATCCGTTGCCCCAGTACAACCATCATCCCATAAATGCGAGCCAGTATGAAAATTTGAAGACACGATACCCTACAACAGCCACACGATGATCGAGACCAGAGGTGTCCACAGGGCAGGACCGCCCTGCCCTACCCTGCATCGGGCAGGGCACAGGGCCAAAATTTGAAAAAAAAATACTTTGCCCCGTGCAGGACATGGCTATATATTCATGCCCTGCAAATTCTGCAAATTCTGCAAATTCTGCATATACCTGCTTTAGTTCGAAAATAACAACAATTTTATTTTTCTCGGAAACGTGAAAGAAATTAAAAAATCAGATGGCGTTATTATATGGTAAATAGATTGTTATATTTGTGTTTGTATGATGACCGTATGAGGTTCAATCTAATTTGTAAGAAAACATAAAAATAATAATAAACTAATCGTAATAGTGATAATAGTGCACATATATTTTAAATATAATTGTAATAGTTGCTCATGTTCTTATTATTTCGATAAAACTATTAAAAATAAAACTGTACATCGCTATCATCGTCGATAGATTTATGTGCTGATATTTCATCCAGAGCTGGCCAAATACGAACTTTTTCGAGTACGAGTCCGAGTACACGATATGAGAATGTGCTTGTCGCGAACTTATTAGAGAAAATTTTATTGGTAGTGTTAGAGATCACGTATCAATTGTGAGATCAAGAAATAGTCTTAGTTATGAATCAATATTTTTAAATTACGTTTATTATCAAGTTTAAAAAAAAACTACAACGAAACTTGATTACATTTAAGAAATGTAATCAAACATACATTTTTTGAAGTTAACGATACGTGATGCGGGCGCATTACAAATCCACTTTGAGAAAATATTCTTTCGATAGGAGTTGATGTAGCCGGCACTGATAAGTATTTCAGAGCCAGTTCATATAAAGAAGAATAAATATTTATCTGAATGATTCATTCAGAATATATATATATATAAATATAAAAGGAAAGAAAGAAATCAACTGTTCTTTCTTGGAAAAATCTACATTATGATTTTATCAAGCATCATCTTGATATAATTAGTGTTGGTGTATGACTTCGAGTACTTCACCCTCGAGTACGAGTACTTCGAGTATTTCGCCCAGCTCTGATTTCATCTATCTCTCCTGGTGATGAAAATGAAGTTTCTATTCTCATTTCGTTGAATATATCTCGCCTTGTCCAAACGTGGTGCTGTGATATTTTGACAAATTGTTTTGCAATTATCTCGAAAGTCATTAGAGCTCATCAGGTCGTTCAAACATCATTCGGCGCAGCTTATCATAATCTATTAACGTTGAAAGAATGACCTAGTTCGACTAAACTCTCGCGTTTCTAGAAAGGTTTTATCATCGCGTAAAGCTGATAAAAAAGGATCCTTTTTTCTAGGGCTGCTTATAAAGCTCTAATTTTTTGACAAATCATTTCTTCAAATGAAATGCTTATGGTACCGGTTTTGTAGAGAATTGAACGGACTTTCAAGCAGTAAAAAGTATTTTTTCTAAACTATTTTCGCTCAGATTAAAAATGCAAAAACGAATCGTAACGCTGTGACACGTTTTTTTTGTCGGCCAAATTTGAAGCACTTAACATGCTTAAAAATATTCAATGTTTATAGATGTTGATCACTGCCCTGCATGTATCCTTCTGTAAAAAAAATCAATTTGCTACATCGAAATACGAGCTCAATAATTGTATAGTAAGTTAGAAACTGTACAGGAGCTTAGAAGTTGTTCTGAAGAATGTCTGTGCCAATAATGCATGGACATCCTTTAGTGTTCACATATTTGGTGTCTATTTTTTTAATTGCCCTTTGGGACTGTCGTGCAGACAGGACTATTACTTTCTCATCAGTGTTATAGAATGTGTTATTCTCAACGAATGTTGTGCAACCTACTACTATCATGAATTTATCTGATCTTCTTCTAAATATTATCCGTATATCATTGCGCAATGTGGTTACGTTCCTGAACGCAATTAATTTAAGGTGGAAATGCCTATCATATCTTTTTTCTGTTCTTTCTTTTCTCTCTCTCTCTCATGTGCACGTATATAAGGCGAGTACATTGTATTATACATCAGAACTGGAATGTAGACAGAACTGGAACAGAACTAGAACATTGGAGAATGGAGTAGTTTAACTAACATCTTATACACCGAGGATAGCGGTAACGCTACTCTTCCAGTTTCTCTTTGTGATTACAAATAAAAAATTAAAACTGCAGCAGTAACGAATATAAACTATCCATTTATCACCAAACAAAATTCGTTACAATGTCAGTAAACAATTAATAGGCCACTTTGTAAAAAATCAAATTCTGCATCGAATGGTATATTACTCTGCATTTTCGTTTTAAATTTCTTGGTTAGAAAATTGAAAATACAATTTATGAAAACTTTAAAACTTGATTTTCGATGCCAAAACCCAATTTTTCTCAAGAAAAAAGTCCAAATTCACAATCAGTGTAAAAAAAACTGTACCAGAAAATACCCTGAGATCTGTTTATATCGAAAAAAAACATTTTTAAAACTTGATCAGCGAAGTAGCGGGTTACGTGGACAAGCCGATCTACTGGTGGGTCATCAGTGATGATGCAATATCATCATATACACGTTTTCAATTAGGGCTAATGTATTATTTGCTGATCATTTATCTATTTGCTGAACTATTTTTCAAATAAAAAAGATTACTTAAACTTGAATTTAAACATGAAAAAAATTCTTCTTAATTAGCAGGACAGGGCTGGGCGGGGCAATAAAATTGGCGCTGTGGACACTTCTGGTGGATAGGCATTTAATTAATATCACATATTTGGTTATTTCTTCTTGGAATCTTATATTTTGTAATTTGTTTTGTTAAAATTGAACTAATTGTGACAATATAGGAAAAACATAACCCACGAAGATTTACCAAGTGTGCTTATATTTTCGTGAGCTAATGGTATAGATATACATATGTGGCATGAGGCACACGTGTTGAAAAGGAACATTTTATGAAATTTATTCTAAAATTTCAATAAACCTCATTAAAATAATTCCTATTATTAAACATATATTGTAACATTGTGATTCACAATGAAACATGATCAGAAATAAATTGTTTTTATCAATACGATATAGTAGTTTCATATATTTACCTCTTTGATGAAATATGTAACTATTCGTATATGGAAAAGAAGCGATATTTCATAGCAAGCACCAAGTCATATATCAGTAGTTACAGCGATCTCTCTCGGAAACTAGTCAAGATACAAGTTTTACAAAAATCAGGAATTTATATAAAAGTCAGAAGATTGTAAAACCGATTCTGATATGACTGTTCAGTGTCGAATGTGAATCAAAGTGCAAACGAGTAACGTTTGAAAGTTAATACTACAACATGCATTGATGTACTAAAATATGTAGTATTAACCAAGCTTGTGAAATTCTTGTTATCAGAGGATCGTTCATCATTAAATGAAGTATTTATTAATGATTGTAAGACCTATGAGTACCTGTGTTAGCATTTTTGATGGTGGTAAAGCTCGTGCTGTATGTATAGCCCTGATTTATTCGAGATGTTGCGATTCCAGCAATATTGGCATTGCTTTCAAACTGGAAAGAAGCTTATAATCATGTTATGCGAAAGACAATGAACAGTAACGGAACGAAACGAAAAGTTCAGATATTGTCAATACATGAAGACCAGATCATGATGCTGCACATACACAATTAAAATTATATTAAATTCAGTTGAAGCTATAAATAACACAACTCTTGATGATATCGATGTAGCCCAAGTACTGGTGACAGCTGTTATTGCAGATTTCATCCAAGAGTTATGTGTACTGCAAAACGTGCATGGGACAGATGAGTCATTCTAGAGTGTCTGAACACCAAAATTATCATAAAAAACTAGGCAATTTGATTTCTGAATGCAGTTTTTGTGCATTTTGAGACGTTTTTCAGGCGATGTTTCGTTAGAAAGCTACGATTTAGTTCAAAACTAATATCAGATTCGGAATCAGCATTAAAAATTGAGTCGATTTATATATGTTGTGAATAATTCTGAGAAAAATTTGTTTTAAAAAAAAATCCCTGTACTCCCCCTCAGGGATGGTCTGATCAAAAATGACAATTTTTTCGATAACTCAACCATTTCTTGATGGATCCTTCTCATCTTCGAACTCGACCGAAATATTCATGAGATTGAACTGTGTGGAAAATTTCATCACGATCTGACTCTCCTTTCGAAAGTTATCGTGCCTACAACCGGCCTGACACACTGACCGATTCTAGAATGTACTCACTTTTTGAGTACACAAAAATGAATAATTTGAAAATACTATAAAAATCTTTCGTATGAATCCTGAATATAGATGAAGTAAAATAGAAGGGAACTTCTTTTTATATGAACAAATCCTAGAATATAATAACAGAAAGCAGGAAAGTAACAGTGCTGCGAGCCGTGACTGAGTATTTAATATAAATTTGATTAAGTGTAAGCAAGATAAATAAAACACCCACATCCACATCCTCAATATTTGATCTTGATTTTCCTATCGTGCTGATAGAATGACCGTTAATCGACAGTTCAAATAGAAGGTTTTGGTCGATTTAAATCACATTCATTTTTTCTCCTTCTAAAAAGAATTGATACACGTATCTTACATGAACTTCTTTAAAAAAATCGTTGTGTTATATGCTATTAATTAGTATCAACGTTCTAAATGAATATTTTATTTCACATAAAACAATACACATTTGAAATAGGTATACAATCATTCCATTTTTTTTTACAAAAGCCTAAAATTAGACATAAAAACAAAAAGGAATCTCTTGTGAGGATTTTACCTTTCGCAGCTAATGAACTTGTTAAGATTATTTTTTCTTACAAGCTTGTGTTTTTTTCGATACACAAAAATCTAAATAAAAACAAAAAATAAAAAGATTGAGTTATGTTTTTCTCCAATAAATTCAAAATAAAAACCTGTATTTTTGCCGTCGACTAAAACACAATTCTTTAATTCACTAGGTAAGCCACATGGATCAGTGAGAAAATCCGTTACAAATATTTCAAATTTTTTTGTTAGTATTTCTGATGAATTATTTGTATTAATAATTTTACGTGAATTGCTTTGTTCTCGTTTTTTCTTCATACGTCCGCTATGACAATAGCATGAATTCTATTTGTTAAAAGGCATCAAATATAATCTAATGGAAGTGAAGCCAATAAGAATGTCGATGAGTCATCCCAAGATTACTATATTTACTTTTGTTTTTTCATTCATCGATAAATATGGCACAAGAGCAGTTAATAAAACAACGCTTAATTTATTCCATTTTAAAATTCCTTGATAGTGAAATACAAGCTGAATCAGGAAATATTGAACGGCGAGAGAGCATTGAAGGTATTTTTTTTATACATGAAATTAAAACGCTCAACAAAAACAATGTTCTTTTTTGCTGTAGTTGCTGCTCAATGTCTTGAAACTGCATTTAATATATCGGTTGCTAATCCTCAAAATGATTCAATTTATGGTCCACCTGTAGATCTTCTATCAGTTGTATCTAACACACCAGTAATAATTATTTGTATGAAACTTATTGATTAGAATATGAATTTTTATTTTTTCTAGCCAGCGAATATGCTTTTAACAGATGATATGAGACAACAAGCCGATAGATTTAAAAATCAAGGAAACGACTTTATTAAACAAGAAAAATACCAAGAAGCTCTTGAAGCATATAATGCAGCCGTAAAAATCGATGCTAATAATGCTATTTATTATTGTAACCGGTTAGCTATATTTTAATTGCACAAAAATTAAAGTCTACCTTAGAAATAGTATAAAATAAACCTCAATTATTTAGTAACAAATGAATTATTTTACGTGTTCAATAAACTATTTTGAAGATAGGGAACGCTTTAAATCGAGGGCAATGCTCATTATAATAACGAATATTCAGATGAATAAATAAAAATATGACTTCAGACTTGATTCTCTTGTTTTTTTTTAAATTAATAGACGAACATCTTTTGAGTTATTGAACTTGTCATGATTTTATTCCACATCCTCATCTTTGATACTTCACTCATTTAATAGTTTTTCGGCGATAAAACACTATTCCATCACGTTTCTTATTAAATAGTGCTGCGGCTCATAGTAAATTGGGTAACAATGATCAAGCATTCAGAGATTGTTTTCGTGCAATTGAAATTGATCCAAACTATAGTAAAGTTTATGGAAGGCTTGGGTATGCTTCAATCAAATTTTTCTTCTTCAAACAATGAAATAATATTTCTAAAGGGCCATATATCTAACAACGGACAAAGTAAACGAAGCGCTTGATGCTTATAAAAAAGCTCATGCACTTGATCCAAATAATGAGAATTATATACAATCGATTCGACTCTGTGAAGAACGATTGAATGCAACCAATAATACTAATCCGCCCAATGTAAGTTTATATTTTTGTTTTCAATGATAAATTAATTGATATCTAGGCTCCAAATTTATCATCGATGTTTGGTTCATTATTGGGCGGTGCAAGTGGTGGCACACCTGATATGATGTCATTCCTTAATAATCCTGCTTTGATTAATATGGTGCGTTTGTTTTAATTTATTGAGCCAAAACATAAAATTTTTCTTCTATTAAAAGGCATCTCAATTTGTTCAAAATCCACAAGTTCAAGGATTGTAAGAAAACAAATTCTTAGTTTCCTATGCAATTTTCATGTATATTTTATTTCAATAGAATGGCTAACTTGGTAACAAATCTAGGTGGGCAAGAAGGTGGGCAAGGCGGTATAAGTACTCTATTACAAGCGTAAGAGCAAAAAAGAAGAATCTTTCATATGACGCAATTTTTCTTTCATAGAGGTCAACGTATGGCAAGTGAATTATCAAGTAATAATCCTGATTTAATTGAATCACTTCGACGTAATATGAATAATCCGTCGCAACAGAATCGAAACAATAATTCAGGGCCGAGTATATTGAGCCAAAAAACTGAATATTATTTTTATTTATTTATGTTTTATTTCTAGATTCTGATAATCAATCAGATCAAAACAGACCGTCATCATCATAAGACATTCTTTTCCTTTTTTTTAAATAAAATTTGCATTACAAAGAAACAAAAACCGTATCTTCCTCTATGCTAATTTACCATAATACGCCATCGAAGCAACACCGCACATATTTCCGGCATCTTTAGCTAAACGTAGATAACCCTGTTCACCCCATTTCGTTCCCCAAGAATTTTTTATGATCCAATAAGACGACTTAAGCGCATCATCATAGCCATAACCTACAACAGCCATAGCATGGTCCATATCTTGTCGACGAGTAGGACAATTATCAATTTTAAGTACACCTGTTTTATAGAACATAAAAAGTTTTGTATCAGTATCAATGCCAATAAATATTGGTCCATAATTCGTAAGTGCTTCAGCCAATTTTTTTTCATTACCTTCAGGAATCACTCCATATTGAATATTTCCAAGTTGAATTTCATTAACACCACTGGTTCGACATGACTTTTGTGCTCCTGCATAAGGATAAGAAGATTCAGTAGCTATTTTGCCACCATTGTCTGCTAGATAACGAACACTGGGCCCAAAATTACCACCAGCACAACCATTATTTCCATTACTTGAACAGTCAGCTATTTGCTGTGCACTAAAATCAATAATAGTTTTAGAATTGGTTTTTATGGCATAAAGTGTTTCCATAACTGTAGCCGTAGCGAATGCGTAACAACATCCACATTTACGTTGATCTTTAACGCTACTAACAACGCTTTTAGTACGCCAATCGAATACGTTAGATTGTTGATTGCCATTATCTGAAGTGTTGTTTTTGCTAAAGAAATTTAAAATCCAATCTTTTAAGAATCGTTTACGATGGTGCCGTCTTTTGTGTAAACTTCGTTTTAATCTTCTTGCATGATAATGACGTCGATGAAGTTTTCTTACACTACGTCCCAATGAATCTTCCTCATCTTGACCAGTTATCATCATGTCTCGTCGGAAACTCGTTGAAACAATGAGACCTTTTTTCAACGTATTAAATTCATCTGCTGTCCAATCCGCAAATTCATTTAATTCTAATTGAAATGTTTGCATTTTTTTAAGATTAGATTCTAATACAAATCGAAGATGATCACGAAACACACGAAGACGCTGTTTTTCTTCTCCTACAAGAGTAAAAACAAAAGATTCCTAATTTAAATATAAAGTTTTTCTTGTACACGAACCTAGTGACGAATAAGCACGGCCATATTTTGTTTTAAAAGCAGACCATATTTGATTGATAACTGAATCATTAAGATTTAATACTCCATCAAATTTAAATTTGGCAGCATCAACAAGACTATCGACATAATCCTGCAGTGATGAACTACCGAAAATTCCTTCGCATGGTGTACATAAACTAATTAAAATAATACCAGTAAAAAAGATTCCATATAACCTCATACTTGAATATTTAAAATAACGATAGAAAATGAAATGAAATACTATTTATTGGTATACATGTTGCAGACCGGGTTTCGTTCTTTTCTTTTACTTCTATGAATACATAGGTATGAGAATGAATCGTTGGTAATATAAAAACTTAATCAAGCAAAAAATATAAGTATTGAAAAGTTTATTATGGATGCTGAGTAGGATTATTCATATGTTGTTATTTCGTTGAATAACTATTTCTATTAAAATATCGGATTTGGCATATAATTATGAGTTTAATGAAACATCGGCAAACAAAGTAATAATCTTGAGGGTTAGATTATTAACGTCTTGTAGAATATATATGCTAAGGTAAAAGTATTTCACGTTTTTTTATGCCTTTCTTTCTGATTGAAAGGACAGGGGCGTATCAGATACCCTATCGGCCCATTACGATTTTTTCAACTGAACATAGTGAAATTATATATGAAATGAAAGCTGCCGTTGAGACAAGCATTGTGATACGAAATTTGTCACGAAAAAAATGAATTTCAAAAAAGTTATGAACACTAACAAAAGTTGACTATTTGGCTGTTTCTCTTGAAAAGAGTCTTCCATTTTCGACACAACTATATCACGATAGAACTGTTCTCATATTGACCAGTCGATAGACATTTTTACGCGCTACAAAATAGGACTACTATGAAAGCCAAAAAACATTGGCCACTTGAAGATAGCTTCGGCATGCAATTTTTCGAGTGCTGATTTTGTCGTTTTTTCCTACTCTCTATTGGATTATGGCCTAAAAGACTATAGTTGTTGTACAAAATTATGTTACATTTGGAATCAGCATCGACAAAAGAGTGGATTTAACTGCATTTGAAATTGTTTCGAGTAATTAAATTTTCGTCGAAAAAATTCCCTGTACTCCTCCTCAAGGTTGGGTGAGAAAAATAACCTGACCAGAACGCCTTAGTTTTCTTTTAACGTTGTACAATTTCGAGTTATAATATCATTTTAAATCTTCAGAACTTCATTGCTATGGTCGAAATTGTGTTTTAATGAAATTAATATTTTCACGCAACGTTGAGGAGGAGTACAGGGAATTTTTTCGACGAAAATTTAATTACTCGAAAAGACTTCAAACGCAGTTAAATCCACTCTTTTGTCGATGCTGATTCCAAATATAACATAATTTTGTACAACAACTATAGTCTTTTAGGCCATAATCCAATAGAGAGTAGGAAAAAACGACAAAATCAACACTCGAAAAATTGCATGCCGAAGCTATCTTCAAGTGGCCAATGTTTTTTGGCTTGCGTAATCGTCCTATTTTGTAGCGCGTACAAGTGTCTATCGAATGGTATAGATGAAAAAAATGGCCCATCTCGATTTTCGCCAAAAAGTTTCGTTGCAGTATGAAAAACGATTAAAAAACAGATAGTTCCCTACAGTATTTGCTCTTTGATCATGTAGTGACCAATGTGTTTTTACTTTTCTAATCATCCTATTTTGTACAGCTTAAAAATGTCTATCGACTGGTCAATATGAGAACAGTTCTATCGTGATATAGTTGTGTCGAAAATGGAAGACTCTTTTCAAGAGAAACAGCCAAATAGTC